GGTTAACCCCCTTACATCTGAAATTTTTCAGAAACATCTGATTTTGCCCAATTTTGCTAAAAATGCAAGGTTCACCCCTTTCAATTTGAAATTTTTCATAAACATCTAATTTTTACCCAATTTCACTTTAAAAAAAATAAGGTTAATTCCTTACATCGAATTTTTTTTCAGAAACATCCGATTTTGCCCAATTTTGCTAATATATGCAAGGTTCACCCTTTACAATTTAAAATTTTTTATAAAAATCTCATTTTGCCCAATTTTGCTTAAAATGCAAGGTTAACCCCTTTCAATCTGCAATTTTCCAGAAACATCTGATTTTGCCCTACTTTGGCAAAGGTTAACCCCTTACAATTTTTGATTTTTCATACAATTTTGCTAAAAATGCAATGTGAATCCTTTACAATCTGAAATTTTTCATGAACACCTGGTTTGCCGTATTTTGCTAAAAAATGCAAGGTTAACCCCTACAATTTGAAATTTTTCATGCACATTAAAATTTGCCCAATTTTACTAAAAAAGCAAGGTTAACCCCCTTACATCTGAAATTTTTCAGAAACATCTGAATTTGCCCAATTTTGCTAAATGCAAGGTTCACCCCTTACAATTTGAGATTTTTCATAAAAATCTGATATTACCCAGTTTTGCTAAAAATGCAAGGTTAACCCCTTTCAATCTGCAATTTTCCAGAAACATCTGATTTTGCCCTAATTGGGCAAAGGTAAACCCCTTACAATTTTCGATTTTTCATACAAATCTGATTTTTCCCAATTTTGCTAAAAATGCAAGGTTCACCCCTTATAATTTGAGATTTTTCATAAACATTTAAATTTGCCCAATTTGTTTGAAATTTTATATTCACATCTTATTTTGCCAAATATCACTAAAAAAGGTAGAATAACCCCTTACAATCTGAAATTTTCCATAAACATCTGATTTTGCCCTATTTTGCTAAAAAAAATGCAATCTTAACCCCTTTCAATTTGAAATTTTTCAGAAACATCTAATTTTTACCAAATTTCACTTTAAAAAAAAGTAAGGTTAATTCCTTACATCGGAATTTTTTTCAGAAACATCTGATTTTGCCCAATTTTGCTAATATATGCAAGGTTCACCCCTTACAATTTAAAATTTTTCATAAAAATCTCATTTTGCCCAATTTTGCTTAAAATGCAAGGTTAACCCCTTTCAATCTGCATTTTTCCAGAAACATCTGATTTTGCCCTAATTTGGCAAAGGTTAACCCCTTACAATTTTTGATTTTTCATACAATTTTGCTAAAAATGCAAGGTGAAACCCTTGCAATCTGACATTTTTTATTCACATCTGATTTTGCCAAATATCACTAAAAAAGCTAGGTTAACCCCTTACAATCTGAAATTTTCCAGAAAGATCTGATTTTGCCCAATTTCGCTAAAAATACAAGGTTCACCCCTTACAATTTGAGATTTTTCATATCAATCTGATATTGCCCAGTTATGCTAAAAATGCCAAGTTAACCCCTTACAATCTGCAATTTTCAAGAAACATCAGATTTTTCCCAATTTCGCATAAAAAAGCAAGGTTAACCCCTTTCAATCTGCAATTTTCCAGAAACATCTGATTTTGCCCTAATTTGGCAAGGTTAACCTCTTACAATTTGAGATTTTTCATACAAATCTGATTTTGACAAATTTTGCTAAAAATGCAAAGTTAACCCCTTACAATCTGAAATTTTCCATAAACACCTGATTTCACCCTATTTTGCTAAAAAATGCAAGGTTAACCACTGACAATTTGAAATTTTTCATAAACATTTAAATTTTCCCAATTTTACTAAAAAAGAAAGGTTAACCCCTTACAATTTGAAATTTTTCATACACATCTTATTTTGCCAAATATTACTACAAAAGCAAGGTTAACCCCTTACAATCTGAAATTTTCCAGAAAGATCTGATTTTGCCCAATTTCGCTAAAAAATGCAAGGTTCACCCCTTACTATTTGAAATGTTTCATAAACATCTAAATTTTACTAAAATTGCAGGGTTAACCCCTTACAAGCTGCAATTTTCCAGAAACATCTGATTTTTCCCAATTTTGCTTAAATGTAAGGCTAACTCCTTGCAAACTGTTCAATCAATACATGAAGTGTCCCATTTGACTTTTTTTAAAAAAATAATTTTTCCAGTTTTTAGGGTAAAGGAATTTTCTCTTTTTCCTTTCTCTTTTGTTGTTGCTATATTTTGCGAATTAACTCATTCGTATGGAATGCTCATAGTCAATCAAAGAATATTTCACAAATAGGGGCCTAAATTATATATTTTTAAATTTAATAGAGACGCATTGATCGTGCTATCATATACCATTCTATTACTATTGCGAATTACTGTATTGTTTGGAATGCTCACAATTAAAGACGTTATTTGAAAGATGTATAAAAATATTTATATTACAATGTACATCTTTATTCTTTCCCGGTATAATTTATGGCGTTTCTTACGTCAATTGGCAATCGCGTCATTATATAATGATAGTCAAATTGATCAAACTAAAAAACTCCGTTTTGATTATAGTCAATTATGAAATATTCATTGATTTATGACATACACCATTGTTTCAATTTTGATACTACCCGTAGACCTGCCGAGCAGCTGTAGATATCAAACTAAACCAAAGTATAAAAGATAGAGGGTAAAAAAAAAATCAAAAAGTTATGTGCTAGTCAAGCTTTCAGGGATCGGTCTGAGCCATAACAATGCCCCAGCCGATCCCTTAGTTCTCTTCCGGGGTCTCGGCGTCCCCGACCAATACACACTTCCTTCCCTATCCATCCATATAACCCCGGAGGGCCAGGCACCATGTAAAAGCAAAGAGCTAAGGGAGGAACAGGGCGGCCCCTAAGCCCTGATCCTCCGAGTGGACCACATGCCCTGAACCTGTACGAAGGCGCCAACCTGGAACTCGCGGACAGTACCAGCAGCAGTGCTTACCGATTAAGCTAAGGTACTGTTGGTACTTTACGACGGGAAATTAAATCTCTTATAGTGAATAATTGAACTCATACGTTAAAAACCAAAAAGACACCAGCGGGATTCGAACCCGGGACCCCGCTAACCGTGGACGACGAATCGTAACCACTCGGCCATTTCGTTACCTTAGAATTTTCCTTAAACTAAGAAAAGTTGTCTTTATAGGTGAGCAAACGCGCCAGGAAGATTACTGGGTCCATTTGCTTTACCTTAATGGGTAAAAACAAGTCGATATAATGAGCCCAGTGTGTTTGGTTTGTTAGGAAGCTGCATAACACAGCCTAATGTGCAAAACAGTCGTGTGCTAGGCGGATCATTACGCAACAATGAACACCGCAATTGTGTATTTTCAAAAGGCAGACGCGTAGATTTCTACTCTTTGTATCTGGGCACATATAGATTCTCACCTTCCTCTTCAGCTATTTCGACTTTCTTAAAAAGAAAAATAGAGACTGTCAGCGAATCTCCGGGAGTTGAAATAAGGATCGTCCCCTCGATAGACCTCAGACTCAGTAAAGTTCAACATTGGGCTCTTTTTCAACAGCTGTTTTTTGCGGAAACTTTACATCTAGATTTTTTTAAAAGCATCTGATTTTGCCCAATTTTAGTAAAATATGCTCCAAATTTTGCTAAAAAAGCAAGATTAACCCCTTACCATTTTAGATTTTTCATACAAATCTGATTTTGCCTAATGTTACTAAATATACAAGGTACACCTCTTACAATTTAAAATTTTTCATAAACATTTCTTTTTGCCCATTTTGCTAGAAATACAATGTTCAGCCTTTTTCAGAATCATCTGATTGTGTCCTATTTTGCTAAAAAAAAATGCAAGGTTAACCCCTTACAATTTGAATTTTTTTCATGAACGGCTATTCCTTCCATTGGTGTGCCGACACTGTACTTCTTCAAAGGGCTGCAAGGTGCTTCTGTGGTTGCTTACAAGTTGTGCAGATATCGCAACTTGCTTACATCACTTCGCGACTCGTAGCAGTAGAACCTTGTCTGAGGCTCTTTCAGACGTTTAAGTCCGTCCCAAGTGTCCGGACGTTGGTTCACAGTGAAGAAGTTTCATCAAGTCTTCACGCATATTCGAAGGAAGGATTAATTGCCACGTTTTCTTAATATCACCTACAGCTGGTTCCCTTCGTCTATACAGCACTCCATCACGTACTTCTTGACGCTGACATTGCGTCCAATAGAATTTTACAACTCTGCCCTCGGGAGAGATTTCTTCCCAGTCTGGTCGCTGTTCTCTCGGAGTACCGGCCCGATGTCTTTGTCATTCAGTTGCGACCCTCTTAAGTCTTTGGCTGTCCATCCGAGGTCTTCTGACCTCCAGCCCTCTTTAGACTTTTCCTCTGGGTTTCTTCTCCGGCCTGGCGCGGTAGTTCCAATCACGGAACAATACGTTATTGGTAAATCTTGCGCCTCGGTATTTGCGTTGGAGTCAGTGCTTACTTTAGGGTCTCCGTTAGATGGCACAAAAAAGGGCAAGACTTTTTTTACCAAATAGGGCACTTGTTTAAAAAAAGGGCACTTGTTCCGAAAAAAAGGGCACTTACTTGTTAATAAAATTTAATAAAGGCACTCTTTGCAAATATTGGAGGATGGCCGGTAATGAAAAAAGGCAGTTTATAAATCGAAAAGGGCAGTCTGTACATAAATGGGGGGGGGTTAAATACCCCTAAACCCCCCCCCCCCCCCCCCCCCCCCCCCCCCCCCCCCCCCCCCCCCCCCCCCCCCCCCCCCGCTGGCAATGCCTTGGGCTATCCCACCGCTTAACAGTGCTAAGATGTTACCTTTCGGAGACCTATATTTACGAACATGCAACAGTACATATGTCTAGTAATAGCCCCCTCTTCCCTTTGCATTTTTAAAACTGCTGCTCCCAATGTTGACAGATCACCGCTGCTAAAAGATAGGCAGATGAACTCAGTACCTAGACACGTCATGATACATCCACTCAACTTATCTTGGTAACCAATAGGCCCGTGAATAATAACCCACGAAGCAAATATTTGGGAAAAGCTTCGAAAAGATAAAACCTGTATCGTATCACTTTATCAAATTCTAAAATAAGTTACACATTGACTTCACCGTTGTATTCATATACATGTACCATATCATGTGATAATGGCAAATCGGTATAGATAAACTTTGGCAAAAATACACCTTCGTCACGTCATTTTGGGATATCATAGTCCGTGCGGTTACAAGGAAATACGGTTGGTGCCTTTATTTCCAGCTTTACAGACAATACTGCTGAAACAGAATGGTAAACTTTGGAGGGAAGACGATTTTACTTCTGTTGATTTCCATCCACATTGGATCGGCTAGGAGTGATGGTAAGTCGGTCATTTTTTGTAAAAAAAACAAGGTTTTAAAACGCCTCATATTATCAATGTAAAAAAATGTATGTGTAGGCCTATATTATGTGTAGGCTATATAGATATAATAAATATAAACACTGTATGATCAAGATCAAGATGGCGCGTTTGTTTGGTATGGTTTAGCTTGGTTTTTGTGGATTGAAAATCAAAGCAACAATTACAATATCTACTTTTTCCCTCACCAGAATATGACGAATGTCCAGAAATTGAAGGACCAACTGTTTGGATTGGTGAGTACTAACAAGTACAGTACATAATGTTCGGTTGATTGACACAAAATTCCCATGTGCTGTTGAATTAGTGCATAGAAGTAAAGAAGCTCCTTTGTTTAAAGAACGTCGTCGAGGGGGACATAGCTCAGTGGTACGGTACAGCATCGACTGTAGACCGAAAGGACCCCGTTCAAACCAGGTTGTGCCCTACTTTAAGGCCCCGCTATTTTTTTTCTTTTTTATTCCTGTAAAATTCGAATCCCCCCCCCCCCCTGCGGGAAAAAACAATAGAAAAGTATGCTCAAAGAGAACATTGCACATACAATCTACCCACAACTGACGTTAGAGTGCAACATGTTTAATATATATGCTTCTTTGAAGAAAATGAGATCCTATAATGGGTCGTTGTTATCATGCAATAAGCATAAGGGGCATAGCTCAGCGGAAGAGCATTCGACTGCAGGTCGAGAGGTCCCCGGTTCAAACCCGGGTGTCCCCTGCAAATGGGTTCCAGGGATCCACCTCCACCTCTAAAATATATTCCCCCACATTCCTATACTTGTTCATTCTCGTTATGTTCCTTCTCTCCCTCCTCCAAAAAGAGGTTTGGGATTTTTCTGAGAAAAAAAAGAATCAGTTTTTGGAAGGCTGTCATTAGCTTTTGTAATTCTTTTTTTATTCCCCTATCAAACTATAGACAACGCACCAGACTGCCAAGCCAACTCGTCATACTGTCATCACTTTGGACTCGATTACGTCTGCAGCACCAACATCACAGACGAAGGCAATTCGTGTCTTGGTGGCACCCAGGTCAAATGTGCCCACTCACAAGCACCGCCTCTGGCTACGCCCCTTCCCATCAACACTTTAAAGCTGATCACCTATAATGTATGGGAGTTGAATTATCTGGTGGCTCAGATCGGACAGCGAGAGCGAACCTGCCGCATCCCCGCTAAGATCTTCAAGATGAATCCCGACGTGGACGTCGTTGTCCTAGAGGAGGTTTTCATGGGAGGCTGCATCGTCAACGTCAACAACTCCCTGACGATGAGGGACATACTTGGAGAGTTCGGTTTCGTCCACTCCACCCGGACGGTAGGAGACTCCCTGGCCCTCCTGCCCGGGGCGAGAGTGGCAGAGAAGCGCAACTCCACTGCGGAAAACGGCGGTGTCTTCATCGCATCGCGCTGGCCGATTGTCCAGGAGAAGCAAAAGGTGTTTGACAACTACGATCCAACCACATCAGATGCCCTCTCTGCTAAAGGGGTAATGTACGCCCGAGTCCGTAAGACCGTCGAAGACGCCAGTAAAGATTTCCACATTTTTGGTACCCACATGCAGTCCACTGAGAAGACAGAGTCACCTGGGATCAGAGTTCTGCAGGCTGGTGAGATCTTCGACTTCATGCAGGGAATGTCCATCCCAATCAGCGAACCAGTGATCTACACCGGGGATCTAAATGGAGACTTAATCAATAAGGAAGAGAACGCTCGGGCTATAATAGATGCCCTGAACGCCAACATGCCAAGTCTCATCGGTCCAATAAAAGTTACCTACGACCACCAGAATAATGACAATCTCGATCCAACCGACAAGGATGCCGAGTATCTAGACTACATCCTCACCAGCAACGGTCACGAGCAGCCTGTCGGGGCCAGTACCCAGGTGTTTCGTCCGCGAAGCGACCAGCCCGTTGAGGTTTGCAGAGATTTTCGCCTGTTCAAGTTCTTCATGTACCCACACTCCCCTGACTGCAGGGAAACGAAGACTGTCAGTGACCTGTCTGACCATTTTCCAGTTGTGGGTATCTTCCAATATCCCACAGACAAGGCAGAGATGACGACACAGGCCCCTGGAGTCCACACAACAAGCAGTGGCAGTTCTCCGGTTACTGGCGCGGTTTTTGCTGTTGTGACATCGTTGACAGTGTTGATAAATTCACATATCTTCAAAAAATTGATCTTTATTTAATTAGAGTTGTGAACTAGCAACGATCTACAATCACTTCATTTGAAAAGTTATTAGCTGAAAGGTTGCATCTATTAGAGTACATTTCTGTCATACATTATGTTGTACCTTCGATTTTCACCGAATCTAGAACTGAGTACTATCAAGCTAGATGACCTGTCGGCTTGATCTACTAGCCAGGCTTGCCTTGTCTAAAATTGTCTTGTTTTAAAGGGAAGATACCACATTTGTAAACATCACCAAACGAAATGATCAAATTATCACGAAATACCTTACTGGATTGTTAGGGAATGACATTCTAAAGCATCTTGTTAAATCGTGGCTCCTGGTGTGCTGACATTTTCAAGAAAATTTGTTTTTCTCCAACGCTGGTCGGCCGACCAGCGTTGGAAAAAAACTGGCTTTTTTTTTTAAACTGCTCCTATTTTTTCATGATTAGTTATTGCGCATATTCTTTGCAATTGATTACACACCTGTGAAGGGGTACAAGCCTGTTAGACTGATTCTCTGACCCTACAATTCCCCAAAGTCTATAAATTGCTCCGTTTCATTTTAAGTGGGGTCAGAGAACCAGACTACAAGAACATGATTGGATTTCTTAGTTTTTCCAGCACCTACAAGCCCAAAACGTGAAACAAATCATTTGCTATATGACTGAAAAATTGCAGCAAAAGCAATGTTGTACATTCCCTTTAAGCTACAAGTGCCGAATTTAGATTGGCATACATCAGGTGTGTAATTCCTTGCTTGAATCAGAGGCCTATACCCAGCACGATATGTGAGAGAGGGGTACCCCCAAACTCCCTGGCCCTATACCATACACACCTTATACTAATGTTAGGTACATCCCCTAGACATCTCCAAAGAATTCCTGAGATTTTGGTAACACAATGACCAACACAAAAGAGGGGGGAGGGGGTTCCCTCTGTCACATATCGTGCTACATATGCAGAGGCCGGTCACTGCTTTGTAACAATTTCAGTATTTTTCCTATGAAAACCAACGCACACTTGAGTACACCCTGCCTGCAGCACTCTCTTTCTGTTTTAACAAATTGCTGGTTGTCCTGAACAGTGAGAAAAGTAAGGCGTCCAGTGAGTGTACAGTGATGGTGTGTCCCGGTTCGTTTGAGCTTATTCATATTCACTGAAAACTTTAGGATATTTCTTTAGGGTGCAAATATTTAAATATTTAAGCCAAACACATAGTTATATGCACTTTATTTTATTTAAAAGAAAACAAATCTTCTTTTTTTTATTTGACGTAGTTATAGCATGTCAAAAATGATGTTATTTCTAAAAACTGACTGTATTTACAAAGTAACTGTAATCATATTGATGAAATCTATATACAACTTTATGCATTTTTAAGTCAATAGCTCTCATCTATAACACTTAACAGAAATTGTGAAAAGGAAAAACTAACTTGAAAAAGACATTACAAAATGCTAAAAAGCACTTTATGTTATCACTTGATTTTCCCATTGTGTGTAAAGCAAGAAGCCTGCATAGGTTTTGAATTTGACAAATGCATTTCCTTAGAAAACCCTTTGAATTTCAAATTTCACTTGCATAATTATGTCAGATTCCTTTTGAAAAGGTGCCTTCAACTGCTAACAATAAGCACTAACATTGTATAACTGTTACTCGAAGACAAGAGTCAAAATTTATGTCAAGTACATGTATATGTAGGTCCGTTTCTTGGAACTCTTAGAGGAGACCACATGCATCTAGTAACGTTGCCTCGCGCCAAAGTCACCCAGAGCCATCTTCAAGCACAAAACTTTTAATTTTATGATTTTTCGTCTCACTTGAAAATTGCATTTGCTGATCCAATTGGTTACAAATTATATACAATACAAGCTAACATTCTTCAGAACTAAGTTTCATTCCATGCAGTAGATGGCACTTAAAAGACCATTGTCAAGTTGCGGCCGTCATGATTTTTGCACATTCACTTCAATGTAACCAAAGTGAGGCTTGAAGATAAAATAGTCTGGTTCCTTTTGGGGCAAAAAAGAATATCATTCAGTATTGTTATAGGATACAGGACACATGACTGAAGTTGGCAGCATGACAAAGGTCTATAGACCAAATTGCAAGAAGTTTATAGAACTGCATTCTGCACACATCTATAAAATAAATGTTTATGAAAGCAGCCAGTGACGGTTGTCATGACGATCCTGTGCCAGAGTCTGTGTCGGTATTTCCCAGAATGCCCCAGGCCCTGTAGTCATTTGGTCTGGCATCTTTGATCTGTCCCATTTCGGCCGTTCGGTAGAAAACTGCAAATGCACAGAAAAGTGTCTCTTTATTACCGATGCATGACATTATCCCTGGTTTCTTAAACTCGAGTTCAAGTAGGCAACCTGAGCATCAAGCAAGCAACAGTTCCCAGGATATTCCTTTTTCTTAACTTTCAGTCGGTGTTGGGAGAAGTTTGCGTACAATATGTTAAGTGACTATCTATAGTTAATGGCAAGTTAAAGAAGAACCAGAAGGAGTGTTACAGAATGCCAATTTTCTCTAAGATTGATTTTCATTATTGGCATTTATCCAAAAAGTAATCTACCGAATTATTATCAAAAAGATTACTGGTACTAAACACCCGGTGAAATAATTTGGTCTGGCTTCAAGTGCTGCCATTTACAAGAAATCAAGAAATGTAGTTGATTTCTAACGATCAGTGAATGGACTCGGTAGAAGGTGCCCGCTGAATGGTCAGAATCTTGAGGTCAAGACGCAGTCTTGTTTTGCATAATGAATTGCCGAATCTGCTCGCATATCACAGACCTAATCTGAGCAAGGGGATATTCCATAGGCTACCTGCCCCCTCCAAACCTGGAAATTTGTATCCATCCTTTTCTGTGGACTTTCCGCTTCATTTTAAGTACAAACTAGAATGCAATAGGATAACAAATGATACGTGTCATTACTTACGCTCAAGTATATACGGGTAATTCTCATGCATATGTCTTCTGTAATCTGCAAAAAAAAAAGAAATAGGAAATAAAGACAAAAATGGATTGAGGTGATACTTTTCAACTAAATGACACAAAGTGATAGATCAGCATTCCACTTTCCCTGCGCATGCAAAGGAGGAGTTTATGTTGTTGGCATCGACAAGGATTGTTTAACCTTTTCTCTGTGAAGGTAGTTTGTTTGAAAAGAGGGATGCAAGCTTTAAAATATGCTGAAAAGGGGACTGATTTGGATTTTTCTAACAAAGAGTGACAATTAATGCTCGTGCTTCAAATATATTCAGAATATATAAAGAGAAATAAGTCAGTGTCAAGCTGATACTATTTAGTATTTACTAAAGTCGCCTTGTTAATACAAACTCTGTAAAATTATAAAAATCATGGTCACAGTGAACATAAAGCCTTGGTCCCAACTGTGCATTTATGTGAACACAAATGGGACCGCTGCTCCTTTTTCATACAAAACTCTGATATATAACAAACACTCTGGCTGAGTCTGGCTGAGTTTGTATTAACGAGAGTTGACTACATTGTCGTGTTCAAAAATCAATCATAACGAGAATAGGGCTTCGAATACGCCCACTGAATACTGAAGAGGCACCTGACTTTACCTTGGCTAACGTTCATTTTATGCCACACGTAGTACGCAGCTCCAAAGGCAGCTACTTCTGCGGCAATCAAGTACTTGGAGAACCTCCACAGGGCCGCGCCACCCCACATCTTGTGTCTGAGAGATCTGTAAAAACAAAGTAGGGTCATCCCGTGTCAATTCAACACGATTTTGGACCCGACCCTCACAGATGGAAACGATATTTGGTGTGAATGATTGGCCCATATGAGAAACTCCCAGAACTGAATTTTTTGGTAGTTTGGCTTGTTAGATTTTGAGATACGGGTCAACGAACTTTTGACTAATTAGCATGACCTCCGAACTTTAAATACTTGTATCTCCTAAACTATAGCACCTACATGTAGCACCTACAAAGCCAATGTGTACAAAGCTCTTTGAAAAGCCTCCATTTCACAAAATAAAACCAAAATCGTACCATGAAGCGCAGAGGAAATGTGTAACGAAATGACCTTTGACCTTGAAATTTGAATTAAATATGCTTCAAATTTCGTATTTTTTTTCAGATGTTAGTTTCTGAAGTAGGCCTAAGCAAAAATCTTGGAAAATGTTGTGATGGGCCCAGCTCTTTAAGTTTTCCTTGATGTCCTTGCTCTATGGTCCCTTGGTTGGCGATCGTGAAGTGTAGGGCCCCTGTTTTATTTTGATCAAATTAGACTTAGAGTCCAAAATGTTTTTTATTGCTCAAAAATCACCTTTACAATCAAAAGCAGACTTTTTTCAATTCTAATGACACCCGCAATTTTGAACAGATTCTTGGGGTAGAATTAAATCACGATTTTCCTGCGCGGTTAGTGCCTTGCGATTCAGCGCGCCGTGCGTGCTCACAGTAGGCTTACATCGCGCGGTGATCGCCATCTTTATTTTCGGGTTGCGTGTTGTTGCCGCGCTGTCATCGTCATTTTCACCCCTAAATGTCCCTCAAAAGATCAAAACCCTCCCTCTATCTATGACATACCTGTTTATAGAGAATGTCGCCAACTACTATTACTAACAAGTTTGGTAGGTTCAATAATTTTAAAGTGGATTTTGTTCCCTTATAAGAACTGGGCCCTACACTTCACGATCGCCCCTTGGCTGATCATTACCTGTTGTGTTGGAAAATTAACAAAAGTACGACAGGGAACCAGTCTCCAAATTACTATCTTTAGTGCACATTTTTTAGTATGGTGTCGTAGAAATTATTACTGTTTATCTGTAAATAATGTTTTCTTTATAAAGACTTTAATCTTCCCACCTTCGAACTCACATATCCATAGTCTTTTATGACCAAGCTAATTGAATGAATGAATATATTTTCTCTCTTACCTGACGTTTGTTCTATCTAAGTTATCACCTTGTGGAAACCAAACCACCAGACTTATTCATCAGTCGGGGCTAGAATTAGAGTCTGTCGGTTCTTTTTCGTACTCTATTCATGCTATTGATCGCAAACGACTATCACTAGAGGGCGCCTGCCAATTATTACAGCGCGCTAGCGAAAGAATATTTAAAGGGGCCAGACCAGTGATAAACTTCCATAGACCCCAATGATAGATGCTCACACTTCAGAAATTCGGGAAAAATACTTACAACTCTCCAAGGTGTTCGAAACACACATCAAATTAAGGTTTACTTCATCATCTTTCATTTTCTTTCAATTTTTGGGGGTTTAACTGATGACTTTTAGGAGAAATTTCCATCCGAAGATGATCATCCCTGAAAATAGTCCTGAAGCCCATCGCCATGTTGAAAAACGATGCCTACACTCCATTGCAAAATAGAGCGCTTTAAGGGCCCAAATTTCATCCAAATTGAACAGAACTACAAGCGCACAGTCCTGTGCATATATATAGATATATATATATATACCCATATTTTTTACAAACCCTCAAGTTCATGGCCCACAGCATGCTCAAATACTGAAGATAGGGGGGGGGGGCATGCAAATCGTGATTTGGCCGGCGCAGGCAATTTTGGACCGATTTACTGGTCTGCAACCTTAATGGCCTTGAACAATACCTTAGTAGTATTATCATATTTATCATATGGCATACTTGCATGGGGCAATTGTGGCATTGGTCAGATAAATAGAATACTCAAACTCCAAAAAAAGGCTTTGCGTATAATTAACTTTACCTCATTTCAAGAACATAGTAATCCTCTTTTCTATCAATGTAAATCATTAAAGTCAGTGATATATATATTTTCTTAATGTAAGTGGGGGCCCCTACTCGGCAAGTATATTATTGAGCTCCAGTAGGTCCGTGTAGCGTAATGTAAAAAATCGATCCATGAAGTGCATTCTTGTGTCCCATTTGATTTTGTTTTTTAATTTGTGTATTTCTTAAATTGCGCCATAAAAAAATGTATATAGTCATATCAACGTTAATTGATAGTTTGAAATAACTAAAGTTTGTTTCGGTATGATCACATTCATAAGTATATGCCTTTGTATTGAAATTAATTCAAGAAGTAGACAATTTGTTTAGTTTTACTACACCACTCGAAGCATTCCATATTTGTACAGGCCTACACATTTACAAATAATGGAAACACTCTGTACCCAGATTATCTGTCCTCTCTTCTCACAATCCAGACCCGTCCTTACTCCCTTCGTTCTTCTGCGGGAGAGCAGAGCACCTTGTCATCCCCAAGTCACGTAAACAGGCTGGTGACAGGGCCTTCTCCAATGCCGCTACCCGCTTGGAATAGCCTATACCATCCCCGTCAGAAGTTCTGGCCGATTTTGTCCTTCAAAAAGGCTCTCAAGACCAACCTTTTCCCCAAATCGTAGCTGGCTGGCCTCTTTTCTTGTCTTCTTTCCCTGTTTTCATTCTTTGTTTAGCACGTTGTATCCTTAGGCAATTTGAGGCTCTATAAATCCAGTTATTGTTATTATTATTATTATTATTATTTTACTAACAGCTAGGATAGGGCGACAGATTTTGCTAACTCCGTCCACAATAGGGCGACACACCTTATTAAGGCGACATATAACTGTCGCCCTTTTGTGAAAACGACCCTTAGGACAAGGAATGTTGCTGTCGCAAACCATCTAGATCGATTCCTCGTGGTCCAATTAGTATAAATACTAAATTTCATGGAAAAAGGATAAGGTAAACTTGGGTTAGGTGACAGTTTAGGTTTGTGCACACGTCTATGGGAAAGTCGCCCTATTATTATTATTATCATCACCATTGTCTTAAAACCTGGAAACGCGAAATAGCAGGGTAGGCCTAAAATGAAGCAAATTGAGACGAACTTATATAATCAGTTACCGGTGCACAATGCCATGAAAAAAACGTTCACCACGGGCCTCTTTTATTATAAAAAAAAAATGCCGGACGGACAATCGTTATGACTTATTTTATTATCTCGCCTCTGCTCTTCTACATAAAAAAATTGTTTTATGCGTGTCTTCATTTGCATAACGACCTTGTTTGTATTATACATACAAAGTTTGTGATCGTATTAAAAATTTATGCATATGAATGCATCTGATGAAATTAATGAAGGATGAATGGATAAAAAAACCGACCTGCAATTTTAAAAGTAAAGAGGGGAAAGGGGCCATCAGCATATGCACTGAAAGACACAACGAGAGTATACCGGAACATCCGAATCTACTCGTAAACTATACATGAGGACGGCTGTAAAAGCGTTCGTCAAGTTATAGCAAAGCATGCTGGCATGTCTTGTGTTGTTGTTGTTTGCGATGTGCCCTTACTCTACAGCTATGCCTATTCCGGTAAGTCAAAATGATCAGTGCAAATCCATATTCGATGAAGTTCACAGTCGTCAGACGCAATTGAACAACACCACGTTATTAGAAACCATACGACTGGCATTTCGTCGACAAAAAAAATGAACACAGTTTCATAGGTCAAACATTTTCACAACTTGAAATGAATGTACTTCAAATCCAATGCAATTGAATCCTTTGCCACGGAATAATAAGTTCTTCTTTTTTGACAGATTACCTCTACGTTAATTAAAGAAACGATGAATCAGATTCAACTAAGTGACCTCCATGGAAAAATGGTTCCAGTCGGTGAGTGAATTTCAAAAGTGTTTTATGACTTGTATCCTCTGCACAGACGCATTTTGAAGTAACTTATTTTGCTCCATTTATGAAATAGAAAAAAAAATTAACCCAGCTGTACTGTAAGCATGGATCATAATCCTACAACCCAACAGTTCAAAAATAACTGCAAACGTGTCTTTCTGTCTTCTAGATCTCGTACAATCAAGGGCGGATCCAGGGGGGGGGGGGGCCAAAGGGGGCCATGCCCCCCCCCAAAAAAAAAACGAAACCATTTTTTTTGTTTTTATGTGACATCGCAATAAAGGCAGGCAATGAGTACACCACCATCTTTTCCTCAAAAAAAACATTGGTTAAAGTGGTCAGAAATTGCCTCAGATCGCACCACAGAGCATCTAGAATCCAAAAAAATTTCGGGGCCCTTAAGCGGGCCCCGAACCCCACGCCGTAATTTTTTTAACCCACTTTTTGGGGGGACCAAAATTTTTTTTTGGGCCCCCCCAAATTGTGTTCTGGATCCGCCCTTAATTGCGTACAATAGACCATTATCATGTTGCAGCCATTTAATTTTTCCCATTCAGATCAATGTAAGTAGCGAGGCTGGAAGGAAAAATAGTCTGGTTCCTTTTTTGCGCAAAAACATTATCATTCAGTACTGTTATTGGATACAGGGAACATGACTAAAATGGTGGACGTGTGATAAAGGTCTATTAAGATGACTCAAAGCAACTTCATGAACGCCCCAGGATTCGTTTAAAAAAACGAAACGGTATAACGGAAATATCCAGGGTGACCCCAAAAAATGCAACCCTAAAACATTTGCCTTTAAAAAAAGGGATCGGTGGATTTTCATGTTTTGGGTATCAGATTAAAGCTAATATTTTTTTCTTTCAAATACTGAAAACACTTTGGGTTACTGAGCAAATGGCAATTATGTAAAAGTAGTCGTTTTTTATCCACCCACAAAAATTACCACAGTAAGGGATTTTCACCGTACCTATCCTTACAAATGAGTATACAAATGAATTTGATGAAAATACATTTATTTTCTACCTGAACAGGTATCTCATCCCTTTTAGTCCTATTTTAAACACTTTGAGCACCATAAATATGTCAAAATACTAACGAAATTGCACAAATGAAGGATAATTGCACAGTAGGCTTATTACAGTAAAATGTTTCACTGTTTGAGGTATTTGTGTACAGGATAAAAAAAAATGACTACTCTCACATAATTGGCATTTTCTCAGCAACCCCAAAGTGCTATTTTAACGATTTTTCAGTATTTGAAAGAAAAATCTCTCAGCTTTAATCTGATACCCACAGCATGAAAATCCACCTATTCCTCTTTTTAAGGCAAATGTTTTAGGGTTGCATTTTTTGGGTCACCCTGTATATTTTTCCATTGCAACTCTTCACATCTTTCTTGTGCCAACCACACAAGACCTCCACATTAAGCTTAGGCTTTATAGATTTCCGTATGACAGTCAAACAATTTTTTTTTTAGACATAAATTTGGATCACCAATTAAAGTGCAAAGAAAAATGAATCGAAATATTGGTGTGGTGTAATGATGAAAAGTTCACGATATTTCTATTTCAGATTTGGTGCTTTTGGTTGTTCTAATTTACTTCGGTAAGCGGCTGAGAGAACATAGCAAGAAAGTGAAGTGGGAGAAGAAATGTAAGGAAGTGAACAACGTCTGCTTCTTTTATTAGAAAAAGTAAAACTGCCATATATATATAAGATGTACTATAAGCATATAATTGTAACCTTCATGTATTTACAAGTCCTCGTCTGATTTGAGGCCTTGTATGCCTCTCTCATCAGATCTTTATGTAAAAACTCTGGTTGAAATAATATGTGCGCATGCAATTTGGGGTTGGTGCTTCAAAGTCAAACTTGAATGGTTGAGATTTATAAGATTCATTATACGATTTATTATAAGCATACAATGTTCGGACTGCATGCAACTGATGTTTTCACAGGCGTTGTCTCTTTTGTTCAGATCGAAAACGACCGTTCATGGATCCTACTGAACATCAGTGTTTCTATTACACTTACCCTGTCCCTGGTCCAACTGACCCTGACTTCCCAACAAGCAAACCTACAAGAACGTGCCGAACATCAGGTATGTTAAGTTCCAATTCTTCAGCCAAACGGAGATGGGCGAATGGGCAAATAGATTATGTTATCTTCGACATGTCTCTCCGGACTCTGCCACCCCACCCCTCCCCTCCCCTCCCGGAGAATTATTCATTTCAATATCGGTTGTTACGATCACTAAAATGTTCCTGCTTTACTTAAAAATGTCTTTCTACTTATACCAATCATGGCGTCGACTCTATGGCGGCCTGTCATTTATTCCGGGTCATTTATTCAGTTATGTTTCCATTTATTACAGGGCCCAAATGCACGATTCAGGAAATACCTACCGACTCCATCCACGAGTATGAGCATATTCCATCTTTGCCTTGAGACTCAACATCTATGCTTTCCTGCCTTTTTGCTAATGTTACATGGTGTCCACTGATTCAGGTGATTTGTGGATGAATTGCACTTGTGAAGCCTCGTATGGTGTTTGGTTTGTGATTTTACAGTTTCAACTTTGTAAAACTGTCGTCGTTTGACAAAAAAAATCCCACGCGTGTGGTGCCAGTGCACGTGTGCTATATGATGTCCGCCGTTTTTAGCGGCTGTTTAGAAAACCGTCGGAGGATGTCTTTGGCAAATTGAGACAAGAAAGCCACAGCTCAAAAATGAATTCAACAGAATATCGCCGAGTACGGTCAAACGATTGAAAGTGGCGATAATATTACTACTTCCACTACATGGAAAGGCAATCACTAGTGCACCCCACGTATGTATGTCGGGGCATGGTTGGGGATTGTCACTTAAATTTTGCCCGAGGGGTGGGGATTTTGTCACTTCAATAGTGACAATCCCCACGTCTTGGGTGGGGCAGCCGGGGGGGGGGGGGGGGAGGGGGGGGGAACAATTGATAGGCGCATTAGTAGCTTGCTATACACCCCTCGTCATATATGTTTTGTAATCACTTCCAAAATTATTTTCTTCTGGTGTTAATTTTTCGGTGGTTTTCAGGAGGAAACTTCTGGTAAAAAGGAATGATGGATAGGTTTTGTGGTAATTATAAGCTACTTGACCAAAACGGTCGAAATGGTTTGTTTTCACTTCTTTTTAATTCGAGAATGGATTGTTAATTCAGTTCCAGAATGGGTTGTTATAAAGTGATGTGTTGTTCCGTTAAATAACGTTAAGTACAAAGTACAGTTCGTTTTTTTACTAACAACATCTGCAGGATTCATGAGTCAAAAGAAGCGGAACCCACACCCCCAAAATTATATTTCATATTTAAAAAAAACATGCAGCACCAAACATGATAATGACTTGAAAGCCAATTTCATAAGCTACTTTTAGATGAAAAAACACTGAAATTGCTCAATCCGTTCAAAGAATATGACCATTTAAACACAATGACCGTAACACCTCTTTTGTCCAAAAATGCGATTTCAAGAATCGTCGTCACAATTGTCTTCAAATATCACCAGCGATAAAACCTCAGTTTAAAAGTTAAAAATATTCAACAAAATCCTTTCGAAGGCCCGCGTCTATTCCAAAAAGTGGATTTTATATTGTTTGCCTAAACAGGGTTGTTAATAAAGACATTGTGTACTACAGTTGTTAACAGTTGCTGAAACAAGTATAAACAAGTATTCTGTGTCATTTTCTTTGTTGTTCCAACAGTCGGAATACACAATAAACTCCTTTTTTGGACGAAACATGTTTTAGGGTCATTGCGTATAAATGATGATATTCTTTGAACGGATTGAGCAATTTCAGTAATTTTTTCCTCCACAGGTAGTTTATGAAATTGGCTTTCCAGTCATTATTATGTTTTGTGCGACATGTTTTTAAAATATGAAATATATTTGGGGCGTTTGGGTTCCGTCTTTTTTGACTCACCATGTGTGTACAATACTGAAGCGGTTATTGACGTCATGAAACAAATTCACCATATTTGAAAAGTGGTAAATTTTTACGATTTCGCAGCACAATGAACGTTTGCCGTGGCGTCATTATTACGCGCTGACGTTCACATTCGCGCCAAAAAATGAACCACCTTTATTTATGCACATCAGTGACGATCAATTTAGTTGACAGATGGTGAATACGGGAAACTGAATTTGCATACGAACTTATTTAGTTATTTATTTATCTATTTATATGTATTTTACATCTTCCGGCATTAAAAATTGTGATTAAATGAGCAACGGGTGTCAAGGAAAAAACAAAAGTATAAAACTGGCATCAAAATGATGCGTCCATCCAGACCCCTGTTCAAAAGAAAAAAATATTAAAGGATAATTGCACAGTTGAAAAAATACAAATCGCCAAACAACTATCGCCAAGGCTGCAGCCTTATAATGGGTCATTCCATAAATTTGGGGTCCAGTTTTTGTGTGTCCCTGTTACATCTGACATGTATAAGATTTTGTTATTCAGGACACATTCTTTAATGCCTTCTACCTCCAAGAGTAATTATGCAACGCAAAGTACCTCCTGCCAAACAAATTTTAAAAAATTAGTGCGAAATCAATTTTAATGATGTGGCAAATTATAGGTCAGGTGTAACAGGGACACAAAAGAATGTCACACTTTTGGACCTAGTCTATGTAATAGACGAACAGATTCGCGAACGGATTCGCTGATTAATAAGGCAAGACCTCGCCTCTCGACCTCCTAGATTTTGAACAATCAGTGGACGCTTTCTATATCGGGTCTTCGGTCATTCACAGTTGTGCGTCAAAGACAATAGATATAAAACAAAATGTGTCACGCGCTCTGTATCATGTTACCCGATATCACGCCCGGCCGTTGTTGTTTTACGAAACACTGTATTCGAATTGACCAATCAAACAATTAAGTCCTGATTTAGGAATGAAATGACGTCACGATTAAGCAAAATCGACCCCGATTGGCTGGCGCGCGGCTTGCATATATCTGCATGTCTAGAGATATCAGACGTTTATACAGGAGTTTGGCTCCGTGGATATCGGGCGATACTCAGACTACGGGGTGTGTAAAAAAAAAAACGAAACCCAAATGTCGGGACAGTTTTTGTAGTGAAGTTCTGCATGTAGCACTTTAAATATCTAGGATATGAAAGCCCAATTCATAAGCTTTCGTTAAGTACAAGAATAATTCAAATCACTCATGTGCTTTTCAAGTTACGGAGTTTTAAACACAGCCGCCGTTTTAAGGTTCTGTCCACGGATCACAAAAAAGTTCAGCGTTCTCTCAGCAACACGAAAACAAATCACATGAGGATGTGTGTGTTAATTGTTTTCGTTTTGTGATCCGTGGACAGAACTTTTTTAAAAGTTTTGTCCACGGATCACAAAAGTTGTGTGTTCTTTTAAAAACGGTGGTTGCGTTTAAAATTCCGTTACTTGAAAAGGACATAAGTGATTTGAATGATTCTTGTACTAAAAGAAAGCTTATGAATTGGGCTTTCATATCCTAGATTTTGAAAGTACTACATGCAGAACTTCACTGAAACAATTGTCCCGACAGTTTGGTTTCGGTTTTTTTTTTTTTTTTTTACTCACCCTGTATTTTGGACCATGGAAAGACCCACTTTTTCACTTTTTCATTTTAACCCAAACAGGTGAAATGACACAGTAAATTTATCAGCAAAGAAATGGAAAGTAAGCAGGAGGTCTAGGGCTCAAATGCCACCTGGGTATTTCTTTTGTTTATGAAATAACGTCGTTGAAAGGAATTTTTATTTGAAAAAGAAGCAGTCTTTTTTTTATTAGAAACCAAGTACTCCTGATGAATTGAATTCTATATATATTCAATATCTATAAAGTTCTCTTTGGAAATATTTGCCGAATTCCTACTGTATTATTTGTTTATAGTGTATAATTGAAGAAAACATTTAAAAACACTTATTAGTATATAACTTGTTAATTGTATTGGTAAATAAAACATTTCTAAATGCTGCTGGTAGTAATTTCAAATATAAGTGGCAGAGTAACATTTACATATTATGTGGATCCTTGGAATACCACCTCCTCACGTACAGCGAAGGGATAATTTTGCATTACACTTTATTCACACAATTGAAGAAGAAAAACCCCGATGGTAATCCAACTCTGTGTACATATATCATCGCCGATCAAGTTGTTCGTTTTGTCTTTTTTGTCTTATTAAGTATTCATCCTCTCCCTGATTCGGAGATATGGGCCTAGACCTAACTATATGGCGCATATAAAATATTTATATGCATATTATAACAGCAGGCCATGTCACGGTCCGCTAATTAGTTGCAGATCGGACTTTGCATGCATTAATTTAAAGTTTCTTAAAACGTGGTGTCAAAGCTCAAACTAGGAGAAATACCAGGTCAAAAAAAGTCAAAAAAAGCGAAACATAAGTGTTGGGACTATTGTTTTAGTGAAGTTCTTCATGTAGCACTTTCGAAATCTAGGATATAAAAGCCCAATTCATGAGCTTTCTTTTAGTACAAGAATCATTCAAATCACTCGTGTACTTTTTAAGTTACAGAAGTTTAAACACAACCACCGTTTTAAAGCTCTGTCCACGGATCACAAGAATGTGTGCGTTCAGCAAAACGAAAACAATTCACACACATCCGTATGTGATTTGTTTTCGTTTTGCTGAAAGAACACTAACCTTTCTGTGATCCGTGGACAGAACTTTAAAACGGTGGTTGTGGTTAAAATTCCGTAACTTGAAAAGTACATAAGTGATTTTAATGATTGTTGTACTAAAAGAAAGCTTATGAATTGGGCTTTCATATCCTAGATTTCGAAAGTGCTACATGCAGAACTTCACTAAAACAATAATCCCGACATTTGGGTTTCGCTTTTTTTGACTCACCCTGTACTGATGCTTGTGTCCCCAAGCCTCTGAAGCAAGACACTTGACGCAAACGGAGGCCCGACCTCCCTAACGAGGAATGTTATAGGCCTGTATGAGCCTTCACGGACACGTGGGGTTGATGGGTTGTTTTTCGTGCGGATCAAGAGCAAGATCCACATCAGTAATTATTAAATCCTTAGTTCTCCTGTTGACAAGAAAAAACTCAAGAGGAGAGGGATCGGTTTGGTCGGCTTTTTTTTTAATACAGTTCCCTCTCAAACAGGAATATCAAACTCACCTTTTTTCTGATATGCGTCCGTCTGGAAGGAGGGCTAGTCTGTATCAAAAATATCAGAGTATTTTTCCTTTTTCTTTTTTCCTTCTGCCTCTCACACGATCTGGTGATGTGACAGCCACACTTATTCATGGGGAAACCTGATATTGTTACAGTCGCATTGTAGCTTTAGCTTGATATGCATTACCTCAAGTAAGTACACTGTTGAAGGCCTTAAGGCAAAATAATATCATTCACCTTGACATCAAAGCTGCATCTATCCGTTAAATCCGACATGGCTTAATTGAAATACAAGTGAGAAAAGGTGGCTGAAACAGCGCCATAACATCACAAACTTTGCAGACATTTACATGGCGAGGGCCATGGTCTGCCAGTCCCAGTATTGTGGCACATCGGGGCCGTATCATAAGTCCGACGCCTCATAGGTCCGACGCCTCATAATTCCAAAATTTCGGACTTATGACGCGTCGGACTTATGCTGAGTCATAAAATTAATTTGTTCCGCCTCATAGGTCCGACGCCTCATAAGTCCGACGTCGAAATAACAAGACGTTTAAATTTGTCGGACCTACGAGGCGTCGGAGCCAGCTATGAGGCGTCGGACCTATGAGGCGTCGGACCTATGAGGCGTCGGACCTATGAGGCGTCGGACCTATGAGGCGTCGGACCTATGAGGCGTCGGACCTATGAGGCGTCGGACCTATGAGGCGTCGGACCTATGAGGCGTCGGACCTATGAGGCGTCGGACCTATGAGGCGTCGGACCTATGAGGCGTCGGACCTATGAGGCGTCGGACCTATGAGGCGTCGGACCTATGAGGCGTCGGACCTATGAGGCGTCGGACCTATGAGCAGTGGCGTCACCAGACTTTTCAGTCTGGGGGGGCACAGGGGGGGCACCAGCATTTGATGGGGGGGCACTTAGGTGGATACGGATCGCCGTCCTGGGGGAGGGGTCTAAGGGGAGGGGGTGCCCCCCTCCCCTTTGGAAAATTTTCGCATACGGAGGATGGGCTAGATGCAAAATGGTGCCACATTTGATGCTAAATTCGATCTGAAGATATCTCCAGAAATTGCTATTTAACCAACTCAGATGATGGGAGTTGAATATAACAAAATATATATATATTTTTTTACCAACCCAAATCTCAGATGGGGGGCACTCGGGGGGGCACTAGGTTTTCCAGGGGGGGCACGTGCCCCCCCTGGCCCCCCCTTGGCGACGCCACTGCCTATGAGGCGTCGGACCTATGAGGCGTCGGACTTACGGGCCTTTGTTTGGTTAGGGGATGCGATTTTGTCGGACTTATGAGGCGTCAGACCTAATAGGCGTCGGACGTATGAGCGGACCAAGCGCGGTTCTAGAACCAATATTTTGGGGGGGCTAGTACGGTGGATCCAGAATTTTTTCAGGGAGGCGTGCTGAAATGTTGACCGGTTATTTTTTCCAGACACTTAGGCCTCCGAAAATTAATAGGGGGGGGGGGGGGGGGGGGGGCTCATGCCATATTTTCAATGGGGAGCGCCAATAAAATCTTAAAATCATTTTTTTTTTACGCAATTTTTTTTTGGGGGGGGGGGGGGCTAGACAAAATTTTGGGGGGCTACAGCCCCCCCCCCCTACCCCCCCCCCCCCCCCCCCCCCCCCCCGTAGAACCGCGCCTGGAGCGGACCCCGGCACATCACTACAATACATTTTCAATCCTAATAAAAGCCATCGGCAACCATGTTCAAATCATTTGCTGTCCTCCTATTGCTGGATCTTGGGTTGTTCACTTGGACTGTTCCTCACAGCATCCGCTTGTGAGCATAGTCCGGTTCGACTGGGGGGGGGGGGGTCCGGGCCTCACTGCGCAGGTTTCCGTCTACGTCTCAATATACAGGGGGAGACAAAAAACGAAACCCAAATGTTCAAGTTACGGAATTTTAAACACAACCGCCGTTTTAAAGTTATGTCCGTCGGCAAAACACAAACAGAAACTACGCACACAGAATCGTACAATAAACACTCTGATTTATTAATCCTAGCTCAGCAAACTTGGCACTGATGGCATCCAAGACTGAACCAAATTTAGAAATTCTATGTAGTTGTAGGCCTATTATGCAAGCCTATAAGAGTGAGTTTCTGGGGCGCGTCTCCGGTCGGCGGAGCTGCAACAGAGTTCAAGCTCAGGCAGTAGTCCAGCTGCGCTGCTCCGGCGGAGTAGTACAACTCCTAATAGGGCATACAACAACCATAAACGGAAGGCGATACTATTTTGTCGAATTTCTGAAATTATGTTATTTCCCCGTTTTTTAAGGGTATAGTAGAGCAAAAGGAAACGATTTTGAGAGGGCAAGGGGAATGAACAAAAAGAAAAAGCCGCTAACACAATGACTTTTCTGCATAATTAAGATAATAAATGTCACGGCAGCGGGGAAATGTTTTCTATTTCCCCGCGGCGACTGGGGGTGGGGGGGGGGGGGGGGGGGGGGCGCTCGATCCCGTCGCTCATTCGCTCCGCGGCTCATGTCTATGGTCTTCCCAACCCAACGGTCTTCCGTAAAAATGGATATGCGCCCTCTTGTGATGATTTTTTTCTTACAGCTTTTATTAAAGGGCTTTAATCATTGGCGCTCAATATTGACGTTCTGTTCTTTTGACCAATCAATTTACACAGACTATCGTTCCATGTCTGATGAGTCATCAATGAAAGATGGCGGCGCCCACGTCCGCCAGAACAGAAGTTTCCACGTTGGAAGCCGAAAATGATCACTTCCGTGAAAGATATGCCCCTAAAATGGCCCAGACTGGAACGAGATTTTACCAGAGACCCGACAGTAGTAATTTCACCCAACCTTTAAAACGAGACGCCTTTAAAATTGATATAGACGCATATGACACGTCGATGGATATTGCTCCGACGTCTTCGAGTTCGACGTCAGGTAAGCCAGCCAACCAAATATGCCATATGGCATGTATGGCGATCGTGTAGTGCAGGGCCCGGTTCCTATAAAAGGATAAGGGAACAAAATCCACTTTAAAATTATTGGACCTATTAAACTAGTTGGCAACATTCTCAATAAACAGGTGATAGACATGATAGAGCCTAGGGCAGGGTTTTGATTTTTTGAGGGAAATTTGGGGGTAAACATGGTAAAATGACGATGAGAGTGCAGCGACAACACGCGACCCGAAAATAAAGATGGCGATCACCGCGCGATGTACTGTGAGCACGCACGGCGCGCTGAATTGCAAGGCACAAACCGCACAGGAAAATCGTGATTTCTACCCCAAGAATCAGAATTGCAAAAAGGGTGTCATTAGAATTGAGAAAAATCTGCTTTTGATTGTGATTTACGTAAAGGTGATTTTTGAGCAACAATAACAAACAAGTTGACTCTAATTTGATCAAAACAAAACAGGGGCCCTACACTTCACGATCGCCATTTATTTATTATTATTTATTTATTAGGCCCTAGATCATTTCTCAGGCACGAGACAATTTAAATATAAAAATATATGACAGTTTTAAAATTCAATTCCATAAAAATTGCTAGACACGACAATTTTTATGTAATTGAATAACTGTCAAATGTCATATAAGTTATAACCATAACTATGCATGCCAACAATCAACATACATGTAGGATGGGTTGCCCTATTATCGCGGTACTTATCACGTTTCTCGTTCGGAAGAGAGATTGCCCAGTGACCTTCCTGAATTGTCCTGTCTCTTAGGTTGTATAACTCTTCCTTTTTAAATTAATATAAAAAATCTGACTGTGGTGTGGTTTATTCCGTGTACGATGCCTGTGAAAATAGACATGCGCGGAGTGTGCGAACGTAGGTGGACTCCCTATTATCGCGGTATGTGGGAAGTGGTGTTTATAATGATCCCAACTTTTTTATTCATATTAATGTTTGACCAAAACATCCCCTGAATAAAGTCTGATAATTTCCCTGTAATGTTCAAGTTGATTAAAGACTATATTTCTACAGGATGATTTCTTAAGACCCTGCCCTTCCCCCGAAAGGAGAACGCAAATCCCTGGGGCAAGTCTACTGATCGGCGATTGAGGGCGCCATTCACTTTACTTCGTTTTATTTTCGCTAACGCGCGGTGCTTATTTTGATCCCGTAAAAGTTGTTACGATTGCGCGCTGCAAATATCGTCGTTCGACTTCATTTTACATTTGCAGCTGAAGAATGGGAACCAGACAATGGAACTTTCATGGACAGAGCACAATTAAAGATTAATGTTAAAAAATAAACGGTACCTTTTAGCAGACACGGTGAGGGAATATTTTACAAGTTTTGGAAAAAGTTAATATTTATTAAAATCGTTAAAAGTCCCGAAAGACACAACATTTTTTAATCGTCCTTTTTACACAACTCAGTAGAAAATCCTTGATGACTGGTGAACTGGATAAAAATCGCCACTTGGAGGAGTTTTGGCAATGCAAAAAGAGCAATTTCCCATGCTGCGATAATAGGGATGCCGCAATAATAGGGAGTCCGACTATACATGACATTAGTCCTAGTAACTTGGACCCAACTTATGGCCTTTTTAACATTCAGACATGGTCTGGCGAGTGGCAATAGTACAGTCGGTCATACTAAAAAGCGTCAACACAGCGTCAACACACTCCAAAGCGTCAACACAGCGTCAACTCAGCATCAACACATCCAAAATGCATTAAAATTGACACAAGCAGTCTGTAACCCATACAGTATGAACAGAAACAAGATTTTGGCTTAAAATCAATAGGTTAAACATCTAACAATTGCGATTTTCCGTTCAAGAAAATTGGCTCTCCGTGCCGCTCCGAGATCGGCTGCCATGTTGCCTCAGTGGCAGCGCAGACCATACCATTATGCTAAAGGGTGATAGCGTTGTACAATAAACCTCAGTCTCTCACAGATCAGAGTGCACTGGTATCAGCAAGGCGCCCTCTGTTGTTTATGATAAGATAATGTCATTACCTTCACACCCCTACTTGAAATGGTGTAGTCCAAGCTTTGTGCGAAGTCAAGATGGCGGACAACGGCCGTGCAAGTTAAAGGTCATTTTTTCGCGTGAAAATACGATATTTTTAACAACAAAATGGAAAGGAAACTCAATCCAATGGAAATTCTCTTTTATTCTATGCTTTACAATTATATGCCCTTTTTGTCAATTCAGAATGTGTTTTGGATGTGTTGACGGTGTGTTGACGCTTCTGTAATGTGTTGACGCTGTGTTGACGCTGTGTTGACGCTTTTTAGTGCGACCCAGTACAGTAGGGTCCAAGCTAATCCGTATATGCCAAGCAACACTACTCTGTCATTGACCCCAAACCCAACACTGCCCAACAAAAACATCAGATTTCACCCTCAAAACGGCCTCCAAACATGCCAAATAACTAGATACGCCACCTGAGGTACAAGTAGACATCGTTGACTAAGATGGTTGGACTGAAGTTTACTTACGATCTGGATGAAAAATGAAATTTCCCATTCAATTCCGAGAGCTCCCCTCGCGATCGTGAACACGTTAAATTTCTGGCTTGTGTTTGAATTGCGATGTGGTCATCATGCCCAGCGTTCATTCAATGGTCCCCGTATCCCGTGTGCGATTCCGTTACCGAGCGTACGCGATGCATCGATTATGACAATGAGAAGACTGGATCACGTTTGTAAACACAGGTGCATTTCGAACGATAATAGGGAGTCGGGAACTAGGGCAGCTTTTATGGAAGGAAACCAGTTCAAGCTTGTTCCCGACTCCCTGTTGAAAGGGGGCACGGTTTTGATTTACTAAATGAGGACAGCGTCTGAACTGAACTTTTACTGTATGGGTTTTATTTTTAGGTCCACACAGCAATGCATGCTAAATTTCCTGAAAAATTGTGTTCCCTGAATTAGAAATCTAGACTGTTTTCCACTTGATAGGCCTTTGCTATTTATCCTGTAATTTTGTGGGAACATTTTAAGATATTTTGTCTGAAATGACTGTAGGATCTTTGCAGGATAACTGGTCATCAAGAGCTAGGAAAATTTGATATGTCCTGCCTTTTAACCAGGTAAGTAGTGTCCATAGAGAATATCAAGTGGAAAACAGTCTAGATTTCAAATTCAGGGAGCACGATCTTTTAGGAAATTTTGCACACATTGCTGTATGGCTCACAATATGAAGGAAGTCCAGTATTTTAGATGCTTTGAATGGGCTACCTAATGTGGTGCATTTGAGCAAATTTCAAAAATTCTAAAGTGAACAAGGGAAATATGAGACGCAGCTGTCCCAAAATTTCCTTTGGAAAATACACGGAAACTAGACACATGTAGGAGTCCCCAATTTAGTTTATCTAAGTTGGTGTTGGTAACCAGGTAGGTATATAATTCTAAACCAAAAATGAAGACGTAAAACAAGCTGAATTTCAAAGCAAAGAAATGCAGATTTTCCACTTGTTTTTCTACAGGTGGCACTGCAACACAGAATACAGAAAAAGTTATCTGGGCACCATTCATGTGGCTAATAAATTGCCGCCAATCCCTTTAACCTGTCGTCATATGCCTTCAACTCCTTACAAAAATGAAACACCCCTACATGTATTTATGTGATTTCTTTGTTATCATGTCACAGTTTAACGCATTTCACATTAAAAATATTTGCCTTGAATATCTTCAGTTTCGGTCAGGTTTTGAAAGTTTTAATGTGCAAATTAAATGAATGCAAATTACATACAATAAAAAAGTCTGTTGTTTCATGCTCATCCCAAGACACAAAGAAAGTGATTCATCAATGACTGAATTGGAAATAAGGATCATCACAATATATACATAAACAAATTTAAGATTTTTGATTAGTGTAATCCTGTATTTTTTCCCTCATGTCTATTTTAATTATGGTGTGTTTTTGTGTGATAGATTTACGACAGAGAGCAGTATTAAATGGAGGAACAAAGGACCACATCACTGGACCAATCCAGCCTTTTGCCAGACCGCAACAAGGAGTCATATCAAAGCTCATGCAGGAGTTCTGGTCTGTGATCGGTGAAAAAGAAGTAAGTGATATCATTCTCCCACTACAAATTACTTCAACACAAATACTTGCTACTACAGGTTTTGCTTTTTTATAATCCAAAATTCCTCGATGCGATTATTGGTCTCATCTTTATTACAACCCTAACCCCCTAGTAGTTCCTCAGGACTACCCTGCTAAATCCAACAGAGTACAACCGGAGTTTCCTGCTCAATCCACTTTGCCTCATTTTCAGTTGTCTGCTGAATCCAACAGAGTCCAACTTGGCGTTATTATGCGGTTCAGTTGCCTGCTGAATCCAACATTTTGCATGAGGAATGTTCACAAGGGGTTAACTGCTCCATCCAACAGGCTCCATTGGGTATATGACATAGTTGGATCCTGTTGGATTCAGCAGGGTTAGGGTACAAGCTTTCCAAAACCTTGGGCAAGCCTGACCAAAGTTTGCACTCGACACAAATCAACTGTACAAGGTCTCTGAGCTGGAACATTCACACAACCAACTTTCTTTCCTACTTCAGCGGCAGCCTCTGAGGTTTTGTTGTTAGCCCCTATATAATTGTGCTCGTTAGAAAGTTATTGGGCTTTTTATGCCCCGCGGCGAAGCCGAAGGGGCATACTGTTTCCGCCTTAACTTGAGAAAATACTTTACATATGAACTTCAAATTTGGTTTGTGTATTGTCCTTGGCAATCCTAAGAAGCCTATTGCATTTGGGGCCGAACGGTCAAGGGTCAAGGTCACAGTGGGAAAAACAAAAGAAATTTTGTCAGCGTGATAACTTGAGATATACTTTACATATGAACTTCAAATTTGGTTTGTGGATTGTCCTTGGCAATCCTAAGGAGCCTATCGCATTGGGGGTCGAAAGGTCAAGGGTCAAGGTCACAGTGGCTAAAACAATAGAAATCTGGTATTTATTCTCAGATCATAGGGATAAGGGATTAATTCATATACATGTAAAACCTACAGAAGACACTAATGCTGTCAATGAACGTTCCATTTGACCAAGGTACATGTAAGTTGATGTTAGAGTGGTGTTACAATGTATGTCATGGAAACAGTCACGGTTGCGGGGCATTTGTGTTTGTAAACACACCTGACTTGTTTTAACCTGCAGTTGGAGTATTTTTGTTCAGAATGCTTCCCTAAACTTGGAGCAAATTGAAGTTACGAGCCGCTGTTAATTGCTCGCGTTTGCATTGGGTGGAAATCAGGGCTTTAGCCAGCGTTTGAAAATGGGTTTCCAACTTTAGGCCGGAATTGGAAAAAGGGTGTCCAAGTTGCTTGTATATGTGACACTCCTTGCAAAATCAAGGCACTTTCAAGTTCATACAAAAGAAAAAATGAAAAAAATTTGACAGTAAGAATGAGGTCTTCACATTTGTTGCCTTCGGTTGAATGCCATTTCAATGATTACACGAACAGCCGGGTTTTACCATAGTGGGTCGCATATACATGTACATGTGCAATTACATCACAAAAAATAGCCTACAGGCAGACAGGGCATCCAAAGGGCGCCCAGACACCCATCCAGCTAAAGTCTCATGGAAATGACACCTTAAGAGTCTGCAATGACAGTAATCATGGTTTGCATTTTTTTGACAGGCAAGGAGGGTGGTCATCTTAGGCATCTTTGACATTGCCTGTATGCTGGTGCTTCTACTGTGGTGCCAATCTACCAATAGCATGGGTGAGCATTTTCTATCTGTTATCATTACCCTAATTCTGCAGGTGTTTTTGCTAGGACCTGACCTGTATCCTCTAAAATCTTTTATTTTGCAGGAACTTTATACATGTAATTGTACATCTATTTTACTGTGACATTCAAGGTTCCAGTCCTTCTGATTTGAGGCGTGCAATCACACCCCCACACCATCGCACACCTAAAAGCTTCCCGAGAGGTGTGAATAATTGCACGCCTGAATTTCCCTGGACCATAGATCACACACCTAGAAAACCACACACCTAGAAAAAACACACACCTAGAAAAATCCAGGTGTGCCTTTTTCCACACGTCTGTGATTTTCAAATCAGAAGGACTGAGGTTCTTCAAAATCCTCCAATTCCGCTCACCTACTGAGGTCCTTTCAAAATCCACCGGAAAGTAGCTCATGGAAGATTAATTTAGGAAGATTGAGCATTGGTGGCTTTTGAAGGATTCAGAATTTCACAATCATGATCAAAATGTTAACCCTAAACAGAACTTAACCCATGAAACCCCAACGGCATGTTTTGTTGGAATCTGTCAGGATGGGTACAGTACCCCTAAAACTGACAGTCTTTGACATTGGGTTGGCATACCTCCAAAATCAATTTGCAAGGATGAGGAAGGTTCTTAGTATTAAAATCACCCTAGGGAGTTAGGGTAAATTATAGCACTTGACTGGTATACCTGGACATGAAAAAACAATGGCGTTGAAACAAATCCAACACTGCCCCCTCCCTTCTTCCCCCCCCCCCCCCTCCCACTGTAAATATCAGCACCAAATACATACATAAAATCAGCCCCAACATATGAGTCACTTAGTGTCAAAGGCTAATGTTCAGTTCATATTTCAATCGAACACGAAAAAGTTGCATGACCTTGTTAACAATTTTAAATAGGGCTATATGAATAGAAGGACACTAAGAGACAATTTTACAATGTACAATGTTATTCAATTACCTAAATTTTGGTTTCATGTTTCATATTTCAGCGCTGAGTGCCTATACGTACCTGACAGTATGTGACCTAATGCTGCTGGTGACTTGCCTAATAACGGTATGGGTGTCTCAACAGAAACCAGTCTCTGTGTATTCATTCGGGTAAGAAATGTCTGTATGCAGTTGACTACTTTGTTGTTTGGCATTCGACAAGTGTAAACCATTATGTACACCTGATGTACCCCCGTTTGACTGTTGTGAGCTGTAGTGCTCTTAGCACCAGGACTTTAAACTTCTGGTTGTGTACAATGTACATGAACATTGTTGAATTTTAGGATATGAGAAGTGTGTATCATCAGTAACAGCTTAAAAGTGCTTGGTAACAACCACACAGATTTGTGATATTTGTAAGGAGTTCTAGTAAAATGAGACACAGTCAGTGGCCGTGTCACGCACACAGCCCTGTTTGACCTCAGTTTCTTGTCCCGAGGTCAAGCACGCATGGCCCAAAAGCGTACGCGGGATTTTACGAGATTTATTCGAGACTACAGAAAAACACGAAAAGTGCCTGGATACGTGAACTGTTTGGCCAAGATGGCTAAATAAATGAAAAGTTGAAACCGTGTGCTTTATTTTGATACCAAAAATAACTGCTTTTGACAAATATAAACTGTTGTTACGGCCTGTCAAACAAAATCATATTTTTTATCAACAAAAGCGAGGGCTGATAGTTTTTAGGAATACATTCGATTCTTAAAAAAGGCCAAAAGAAACGGCAAGGCTCGGTAGATAGAGGAAAGTATACGCTTCATTTTCATGTGAAACACGTGCAGGAGACTTTTAATGTTTGGTCCAAATCACCGGTTGAAAAAATGAAGAGTTTTGCGAGATTTCATGATTTGCAATCACATGTACGCGTGTAAACGAACGCAAGTACGCCGACGTACGTTGGCCTGAAAACATTGTGAGTAGCACGTGCGAACGTGCAATGAATGACTTATGAATATTAAGCAGGCCATACTCGAGCTCGTCCAATCAGTGGGCGTATGGGTCACAATGGCGACGATCTTTTCGCGTTGTGAAAAATGGAAGTTGTTTGAAACATTAGGTGTACATGTACATCGAATTCTTAAAATATTAACGACATCATGCTCACGAGATTTTTTGTAGATAAAGGTTCATTCTTTCCTTTGATTACCTCAACATTTGGGAGACTTTCGTCGTTCTCGGAAAAAACCAGGAAATTTCATAACCTAATTTTTAGTCGATTTGTCCGTGAAATAATATCGTCAAAATGCATCAAAATCCTTTTTTTTTTGAGAAAAAAAATACCCTGATGGATGCATTAAGTAGGTCTTTAACTACCTAAAACAACTTTCTTTGTTTGGATCGGTTGTGGTTTGGCCTGAAAATTGCGAATTTTCTGAAGCCCGTTTTATGGCCATCGTTCGCTGGCCTTGCGTTGCTGGGTCAGTTGTGTGGACGAGAAAATAGAGCAGCTACGCGTGACACGGCAACTGACTGGACAGAACTGGGCAGAGGTTTAAATGAGGGTTTGTGTATATTATTAAAGAGAATAAAGTCTCCTTTCGATACTGTTTGTTGCACTTCAATCGGACATTCTGTTGACAACTTATGGCTGTTTAAATTTTTCATTTATCGGCATGTCCAAAAAGTGAAATACTGATAAAAGTTAAATTTGGAGTTTGCAGTCATGAAAGTGAAAGATGCCAATTGTGTTTCTTTAAAAACTTTTTTATTCAACTTATTTTTATATTACTCCTTTAATAGATGTGTAGTAGTGTATCAAAGATTACAAATATCAAGAAATCTGAAAATAAAACAAAATATAAAAATCGCCCCCGTTCATTTTGTTTTTGCATTTTTGGCTACTACATGTACGTCATGTGGCCAGTGCTATCTCATTTTTCGAGAATACCTCACATAATTTTATGTGCCACAAATCATAATTTCCTTGTAAAACATGTTTATAATTCAGGCATTCTTAGGCCAAAAAAAAAAAATATTCGGTCTCTGGTCAGACCAAAGTTCCGGAATTGACGCGGGGACGCGGCTTTTTTTTTTTTTTTTGCTTTTTTTTTTTTCTCCAAGCTTGGATTGCACAGACAAGGTGGGGTACTATTTTGCTATTTGGTGTCCTCATGTACATTGGTGTCTTCCATAATTTGCCTTGGTGCTCTCGATCATTTGCCTTGGTGCAATTTCCCATTCCTTGGTGCTCTTTGGTAAAAAAAAAATTAGGAGGTGCGGTAATAGAGGGCGCTGTTGGAGCTGCCGCGGAACATTTTGAAAAAAAAAAGATTGACGCGCATGATTAAAATCGACGCACGCGCTGACCAGAGACCGACTTTTTTTTTTTTTTGGCCTTATTGTGAAATTTTTTTTTTAAATGTGTTTTGCTACTTTTTAATTTTAAAGTGGAAAATGTATAACAGTTTTGAGTGATTTTTCTTGGCAAATGCAGGTTTGAGAGATTTGAAGTGCTGTCTGTCTTTTCCTGCACTATGCTGGCAATATTCGGTGCAATATTCATCATGAAAGAAAGGTGAATTCAACTCATTTATGTTTGTACATGCATGAACATGATTAAAGTACAGTTTGTAATGTCTATCTGCTGATTAGCAGTGCAGGACAAAAAATACATTAGGCCAAAAAAAATAATAATTCTGCTTTCGGTTTCCTTACCTACCCTATTCTGACAGCCCCTACCCTAATTTGTTTTTGGAAAATGAGGAAAAAACACCCAAAACCATCACTTTATACCTTTTAGCCTTGACAACATGCAGACGCCTCCATATGATCGTACACACACAAAATTGGCCCCCCCCCCAAAAATTCCCTACCTACCTACCCTATTTGCGAATGCCATGTAATCGGAAGCAGAACTATTTTTTTTTGGCCTTATTTCACTTTTGCCGGTGTAAGCATGCTCGTACATTCTTGAAAATTAACATTGAAGATCTTTCTAGGTCACATTGTGTCCATAGTTGAAAACGTTTGTCACCTCCAAGTTGGCTTTAAAACTCTGGATAGAAGTCATCCTTTCCACTATAATTGCTGAAATTTCAGTTCATTAAAGAAATAGGCTATCAGCATTGGTCCAAAAATTGGGCCACCGGTATCAAATAAATGAAAGGAGCAATTCTCATAGCGATTTTTGGCAATGTATGCACATCTAGAATTGGAAAACGTGTGATAGCTTTGCAGTGTGAGCGGTGGAAGTTTTTGGGTGTTATCACTTTTAATTTTTTTTCCCAAAATGGCCGCCAATATGCTTGTTACCGGATTATTATATGTGGTAACAAGCATGTTTTGGCAGCCATTTTAAAAAAAAAGTGATAGCACCCAAAAAACTGCCACCACTACAATGCTATCGCATATTTTCCAACTACAGGGGTGCATACCTTGTCGAAAATCACAATGAGCATTTTTATTCCCCTCATTTTATACCGACCAAACCCCCCCCCCCCCCCCCCCCCCAGGCTGATGGCCTAACACGTGCTTCAGCTTAGGAGAAAAGCCAACAAATCACAAGAAAATCTGTTTATCTTGCTTCATTTACTAATTCAGTGCCAGAACTGCCAATTTAATTAATTTAACTGTATTTTTTTTCCCATTGGAACATGCATGGTTGGAGAGTCCTTTTTCTTGTCTTACAAAAATGGCTACACAAATTTGTATTAATGAGTTAATGGTTTTGAGGTGTTATCACTAAGTAAATTCTCAGTGTGATTTGTAATCTCATACAGCACGGAGCGCTTGTTTCAGCCGGTTGATATCCACACCGGTCGCCTGATGCTGGGCGCCGGTTTGGGCTTAATCTGCCACATCACGGTGACCTACGGAGCCAACAGTAAAGCATTCAGGCACGTCATTGAGGCATCGCGGTCCAGCTGGCTACAGGAACACTTTGCCGATATGAGCAGAAAGTGAGTTGAGATATATCTGCATTGATAGCGAGTGAATTCGCATACTGTGCATGTGTATCATCCAGTGGCTGATAAGGAAGGAAAGAAATATCAATGCATTCCGTAGAATTGAAAAGTAATGGAGTACTAATACAAAGCGGCAATGCCTGTAGTATTGAAAGATAAAAAAAGAAGAATACAAAGTTCAAACTTCAAAGGTATAGATGAAGATGTGGCGAAATGACATGAGGAATAGTCTTTTTAGTGACTCTGCAATTCTAAAAAAAAATGTAAAATTGAGTTTCCAAAACGAATCATTGAATCATCCAACTTTTTGTAATAATTGACATAACATCTGACTGCTGCCTTCCAGAGATTTGCACTACTTGAAAAATGATGTCAATGAAGTGCAAAGCCCAAATTTTACAATTCAACCACCTGGAGTTGTCCTGGAGTACTTTCCGAGTACCAGCTTTACTACCAGATGTTAAGATGGTTTGGTATGGATACAGCTGCGTAACTCAGACATTGGACAGTGAATCCCCACCAAAAGAAATGAAAGAAAAGTACTCGCCGAGTACTTCCGTTCCAAAAGTTTAATTAAAAAGTAATTTTATTTATCCAAAGTCCCAAATTAATTTTGTTTTCTCTCTAAACTGACTTCAATTGCTGTCTATTGTTTCTCTTGCGTTCACAACAAACAGCTCAATACTTTGTAGTTTACAAAGTACTCAGAAAGTATTCGACTGCAACTCTGCAACTACTCCATCGAAAATCAGAAACATTTCTCATATTGCAGAATTGAGGTGAAAAATTAGGCCAATTTGTTCACGTTATTGTAAAACACTGGCTTTTTTGGAAAACAGTAGTATGTAAAGTCTGTCACGAGCCAATGTGGCCCATCAGGCTGGCGTTTATCCCCAGTTTCAGTAGCATGAAACGACTGAGAAAATTTCTTTTCCTCCTGGACGGATGCTAGTCCATAGCAGGTTACTCCCCAGCTAATGCCGGTACCCATTTATACTCCTGGGTGGAGAGAGGCAAGTGGAGGTGAAGTGGCTTGCCCAAGGACACAACATATGGCCAGCGGCTGGATTCAAACCCCTGACCCTCTGATCATGAGTCACAAACCCTAACCAGTAGGCCACACTCCCCAAGTAAACCATCAATATTTCTCTTGTTCTCCTTGTCAGTTTTTGTGCGATTGTTCCAGGGTTTGATCGCCTGCTCCTTCCAAGAGTCAACCCTTTCGTCTTGATTGCCATGGCAGGTGCCTTGTCCCTGCTCATCACGGACCTACTGGTGGATGTCAAGTAAACATTTCATGATAATTTCTCTGCCTTTTGCAAAGAGTCAAATTCTTTGCCAAATTAATATGAAACAAATGCGATCATGCAAACTGATTTTTGACTGCTTTTGACATTAAGAAAGATCCTGTATGTTAATTGCCCACAGAGAATCCTTTGTGGTAACTCACGTTACATTTTCGTAATGTGAGTAACCGATTTTGTGCGTCTTGTTTATCATACATAACACATTTTTCTGGATGTCATCTTTGGTGCTTTAGGTCTAGGTCTACTGTATCTATCATGGGGATAACATTTTCAGTAAGGTAATTACAGCCCAAGGAAACTCAAAAGAAGATCAAAAATGTAACGTGAGTAACCGTGGAATTGCCCTTTGGTAATCATAGTTTCTGTTCTAAATTTGGATAAATAGAACAGAAATAATTCTGTAAAAAAGTAAAACTGCTGCAAACTGCTTACTGACTGGATGGACCTGAAATATATAAATCTTAAAATTAATGTGGCCTGACGTTGCGAACTTAGCAAGTTCTTCTTCAGAGGCTAAAACAGAAATGACAGAGGTACATACATTAACATGGGGTGCACACAAACATGCAGGGCTGAAAGAAGAAACACAAAAGGAGGATTAAGTGGGAAAGGTGTAGAAAGATGCAGGGGAGGGTGGATGAGAGAACAAAGAAACAAAGGGAGATTGCAAACCACAAGGGGTCTGGTGTGAACAGGGGAGGGACCAGAAAGGGGAAGGATCAAAGGTCACAGGGAGTGGGAACAGACAAAAGAGTGTGAGAGTGAAGGGATGATGCGGGGGGGGGGGGAAACAGTATGGAGGTGGAAAGGGATGAAAGATGGGGGAAGATGGGTAAACACAAACAAGGAAGACCAGATGGATTATCTGTAACAGATGACAATGGAGGGAAAAAAAAGGATTAATCATTTCCAAGTTGGATGTTGAGACCATGTGGTTGAATAGTTCGAAGACGATTCATCCACACTTTCTCTCTGCTGAGGCGAACTGAGTCCTTGCGATGGCCAAGAGATTCAATGCCCTGCAAAATCATATCAGAAATGGAGTGGTTAGGCAGGTTGAAGTGATGACCAACAGGGGTGTCTAGTTTCTTGGTGTTGACCGTTGACCGGTGGGCATAGAAACGCTTCTTGAGCGTATTCTTAGTCTCACCTACATACTGCACTCCACAGACCCTGCAAGAAATGAGATATATGACATTAGGGGTGTTACAAGTGATGTTACCAATGGTTCTGTGGGTAGTGACAGAAGAGTGGCCAGAAAAGGAGTCAGACTCCTGGATATGAATCTGGCAGACAACACATCTGGAACTGCACTTGAAAGTACCATGCTGGGTGGAAGGGGATGCATCTAAGGATGGGACTTCAGCTCGAACAATCAAGTCCCGTAGATTTCGAGGACGCCTGTAAGCCAATGTGGGGCCGTTGGGGATGGCGCGGGCAAGGCGATCTGAAGTATGGAGGATATGATGATTGTCATTAGTGATTTTGCGAAGGGGAGGGAGATTGGGGTGAAACGTGGTAACCAAGGGAATCCCAAGAAATCTAGGAGGCTATCCCAAGAAATCTAGCTCTCACGGGAAAGGCCCCTGATGCCATGGCCAAACCCATGATTCCCTTGGTTACCACGTTTCACCCCAATCTCCCTCCCCTTCGCAAAATCACTAATGACAATCATCATATCCTCCATACTTCAGATCGCCTTGCCCGCGCCATCCCCAACGGCCCCACATTGGCTTACAGGCGTCCTCGAAATCTACGGGACTTGATTGTTCGAGCTGAAGTCCCATCCTTAGATGCATCCCCTTCCACCCAGCATGGTACTTTCAAGTGCAGTTCCAGATGTGTTGTCTGCCAGATTCATATCCAGGAGTCTGACTCCTTTTCTGGCCACTCTTCTGTCACTACCCACAGAACCATTGGTAACATCACTTGTAACACCCCTAATGTCATATATCTCATTTCTTGCAGGGTCTGTGGAGTGCAGTATGTAGGTGAGACTAAGAATACGCTCAAGAAGCGTTTCTATGCCCACCGGTCAACGGTCAACACCAAGAAACTAGACACCCCTGTTGGTCATCACTTCAACCTGCCTAACCACTCCATTTCTGATATGATTTTGCAGGGCATTGAATCTCTTGGCCATCGCAAGGACTCAGTTCGCCTCAGCAGAGAGAAAGTGTGGATGAATCGTCTTCGAACTATTCAACCACATGGTCTCAACATCCAACTTGGAAATGATTAATCCTTTTTTTTCCCTCCATTGTCATCTGTTACAGATAATCCATCTGGTCTTCCTTGTTTGTGTTTACCCATCTTCCCCCATCTTTCATCCCTTTCCACCTCCATACTGTTTCCCCCCCCCCCGCATCATCCCTTCACTCTCACACTCTTTTGTCTGTTCCCACTCCCTGTGACCTTTGATCCTTCCCCTTTCTGGTCCCTCCCCTGTTCACACCAGACCCCTTGTGGTTTGCAATCTCCCTTTGTTTCTTTGTTCTCTCATCCACCCTCCCCTGCATCTTTCTACACCTTTCCCACTTAATCCTCCTTTTGTGTTTCTTCTTTCAGCCCTGCATGTTTGTGTGCACCCCATGTTAATGTATGTACCTCTGTCATTTCTGTTTTAGCCTCTGAAGAAGAACTTGCTAAGTTCGCAACGTCAGGCCACATTAATTTTAAGAGAAATAATTCTATTAAAATTTTTGAGTTGATTCAATTTCATATTAAACTGTTATTTATCATAATTGACACTTTTATATTTTTCTTCCAAAGCAATTACTTTGTGGCGGACACACTGGCAGCCATTTGTATAGCCCTGATGACATTTGGTACCATGCTTCCAATGAGCATCTACACGGGTACCATACTACTGCAGACATCGCCGACACACATCATTGGACAGCTGGACAAGAGTCTAAGAGAGGTTGGGAGAATTTGCTGTGATTCTTACACCCATTAGAGACTGGAGCCCCAGAGTTGCGCCGAAACAAAAACTATTGGGAACGACTCCCGTCAACCAAACTAGATTTTGAATTCAGACCTCAAATTTAATGTCTTAATTTTCCATTGACTTGACACTGGAGTCTTTCCACTTAATTAATTTGATTCAAAATCAATCTGTTGATGTAGTTGCTTGTAACTGTTTTTAACCTTTTCATGTACGATGAAGTAATTTGATTCGGCGCCACTCTGGATCATCAGTCTGAAGTTTGTGTGTTAGTGCTGCTTGTGCCTAAGACTAGGGACCCCAAAAATACTTGTAATGCCACTTGAGCAACAGCAGTGAATGCATTAAAGCCAGAGTCCATCATTTGCAACTATCCAAAAAGTAACTGGCGTAATTATTGTTGACAAAAACAAACTTGGTTGAAAGATAGTAAGGGGAGTAAACTCCCTGTCAAATTATTCTTTCTGGCAAGCTGTCATTTTGAAAAAATCAACAAAAGAAGGCCTTTCCAACGGTGAGTCCTTAAGAAGCTCTGTTGGAAATTTCCGTTAGTAGTTCGTTTTTTTATTCGGCGAAGCGTGTGCAAGCGCGACATCGCGTAGCTGCAATCGGCTAGTGTGAACGTGTCTCAGACGCTGAATTCAGGCCCAATTCAAAACATGATTCAGCAACTTTTGATTTGAAATCGAGATCCTAGAATGTTGTTTTTCTTGAAATATACAGCTGAAGCTGAGCTGAAACTTCATCAGGTTAGTTGTTCAGCACCCTTCTTTAGATTATGAGCACTTTTGTTGCTTCAAACGAACAAAATGCACAAATTACAAATGATGGACTATACCTTTAGCCCTAACCTCCCTGAATCCATCAAAATCCATACCCCTGTTTTGAAGAATTTCGGTGGATTCAGGATACCTCCTTATCGATGGAATGAGGATTGCAAGCCTAGCGGTACTGCAGGATTTTGATGGATTCAGGATATTGAGCAGTCACCAACACCAACATTTTTGGTGGGACATAATTGGTGGATTTTGGCGGATTCAGGATACTTTCTAGTAAAGATAGGTTAGGGTTAAGAAACATTAAATTGCAGCCTTAACCTATGTGCACGTGTTTCACTTCATCAGGTTAGTTGTTAAGTACCCGTCTTTATATTTTGAGCACCTTTGTTTTTTCAAATTTTAAAAATGCACAAATGACATATTATCTACCGGTACCTTAAACGCTATGAAATAGGATTCATAAGACAAACTTTTTGTGGAGGCATTTTACAAAGGAAAACAGTTATATTGAAAAACATTTGGAAAACAGAAAGCCATTTACAATGGGCTCTGTGCGCCAATGAAAGAGGGCGCCCTTTTACCAAGCAACGACGTCCCATGGGTGGGACATTTAGCTGGTTGACGCCACACACCGTTCCTTGTGTGTGACGCACGTACACCAGGGGATTTGAACTATGTACACGCAGTGGTACGGCCGCGCATCGCGGCAAAATTGCAGTCAGGCAAGATGGCGTCGGTTGGTCACCCCCAACTGTACTTTCTTTGCCGGTGAGGGAGTACTTGAGAACGGAGCGGATAGGGCACTTTTTTACCACTTTTGAGAGCTCTATAGATGGGACACACCATGCGAACTGGCGTGAAGTACATTGTATGCATGGCATAGCGTGAGCTTCAGATGTTGTCGGTGGTCTCCTCCATCTCTCCCTTTCTTACCGTTGACAGGGGTACCTGTGCACGTGACCAATATTGATTTTATTGCTGGGGATTTGGGAGTGATTTCTCTTGATATTGTGTCCCTCTTCCTTGCAGGCCTCGACCCTTGACGGTGTGCTGGAGTTTCGCAATGAGCATTTCTGGACCGTCTCATTCGGCGCCATAGCTGGCTCGCTCCATGTTCGAGTCCGCAGAGATGCAAATGAACAGGTCAGATTCTTCCTAAAATATCTGCTGTCTGATTTTTCTCAGGATTTGAAGCACAAATATGGATGTTGGTAGAACTAGCATTGCAATTCTGAATATTCTAGACAGTTTGAATGCGAGAGTGTCTTTTGAGATGAAATTATAAGGAGCTAAAAATGTTAAAAATGTTTGTATTGAAACCACAATTTAAAGTCATTAACAACAGTAACACTTTTGGCTTTTTTGTGTATTGATTATCCAACCCTCTGGTGTAAAGAAGGGATTTTATAATGGAAAAATTGACCCGTACAATAATACTCAATTTCATAATTTCTTCAGGAGTGTTAACGTGTGGAGCATTACTTTTCATTGAAGATACTGTCAAAGTTTGTACAAAGGGACTAAAACTAAAAGGGGCATATTCCTCAGTACATTAATTCCTTCTCTTGAGAGAAATGTGAACAATATGTCTGTACAATGTATAACCCACATTATTTGCACTTTACAGGCATGTAGGATCATTTACATTTATCCCAAAGTAACCTTCAAAATTATTATCAAAATTCTTACTTGGATTAAAGATCGTACTGGTACTAAACACCCCGTGAAATTATTCCATCTGTCTTGCTGTCATTAAGAAGAAATAAAAAAATGTAGGTGGTTTCCAACGATCAGGCAATTGAGTGATTTTTGGAAATAAAGAAAGCTATTGACAAAATTGTGTTTCGTGATTAAGAGGTCGTGCATTGTTTTGTGCTGGTTTGCACTTTTTTTCGCAAAAAGTGTAATATCCACTGAGCCGAAACTTTCAACAGGTTAGGTTTTGAACTTTTTTGCTTTGGATTTTGAATGGTGTTATTATTGGAAACAAACATAATGCATGAAAAGCAAATGATCGTATATGCCTTTTAACTACTTGTTTTACCCGTTTCTTCAGATGGTTCTTGCTCATGTTGCCAACAAGCTATCCCACCTTGTCTCAACTCTCACCATCCAAGTCATCAAAGACGACTGGACCCGTCTGACTCCTCTCTCCTCCTTCCCAGGCGAGGCCCTGTCCTCCAAGCTCCCGCCCCCGGCACCCCTCAACCCAAACTTTGTCGCCAGTAACCCGGGACTGAACGTGTACTCTGCCGCCGCAACGTTACAGCAGCAGAAGAAGGGCCTGTATGACTTCCAGATCCCCACCACGCCGAGCCGGGCCTCCAGTACCCCTTACGGGACGCCCAGTCGAGATCTGAGCTTCCACTCCGGCATCGGACCGATATCGACCCACGGGGAGTCCACCTCGCCCATGCTGGACAGATATAACGCGGATACGCAGCTGAAAGGAATCTTAAGAACAGGCGGCATGGGGCCCAGAGGGTTACCGCCCAACATGGCCAACAGTCGGCCCCTTGCCAGCAGCCACAGTGCCGTCATTGACTTGAACAGCCTGGGAACGGCCAATCTCTACACGCCGGGGAAAATCCTGGCGGACCACAATCATTTGAATTTTGACTCATGAGAGTTTCCCATTTAAATTGTTATTCTCTTCAAAAGTATCATCACGCTCTCGTTAACAGACCACGTTATTTAAATACAATGGGTTATATTTTATTGACGTAACTGTAAATATGTACATATGTAATTGTTATTAGCATTTGAAAACTAAAAGTTGGCGATAGAGAAACAAATATGAATGTCTCCTTTGTGGTATTTGCACAGGAGAAAGTTGTCTTTGCTGATTATAGCCTTCTCAAAGAAAATTAATTGAAAAAGGAACTGTTCTTTACTTGCCTTTTGTCCCTGTATGATTGTTCCCTCGGTTTACAGAGTAGGTGATTGGTGGTAGCTATTTTCGAAAAAAATAAGCCATCTTTGCGGAAGATTTTTAAAGTTGAAAAGACAGAGCCAGCAATGGAACAAGCATAAATGTATTAGCCATAATACAACATCAGCAAATACCACTTTAGTGATAACTTTCATGTTGGTTCCTTTCATCCCTACAATGGACTAGTCTGAATGTTATAAATATGGAACCCAAATTGTTATTTTGGGGATATCTCAGGGAACGACGCTACATTTGGCCAAAAGAAAGTAGTTTAAACCAGTATCTGGGAATAGGTACCCTGCAATTTGATATAAATGAATGTTATGTTTTGTGTTTACTAGACTCCATGTTGAAAGCACATGTATGCACAGCCATGGTACGTTGAACAGTCTCAATCCTTCTGTTGTGCCTTTTTGGTCAATTCCAGAATTTTCAAAGAAATGTCCCCCATGTAACACAAAATCTGTATTTTGATAATGGCAGCATATATGTAACTTCTCCGTAATTCCTTCTCATGCTTTACTTGTCATTCCAACTTCAGAAAACAATGAGGCTGTTTTCCAACAGGATTTCCATTGAAGTTAGATCTACTTGATTGGTGCTTTTGAAATGCCCACTTCTTTTTTACGGATTCCGTGCAACAAAAACAGTAATAAAACAAGAGTTAGGGGAGACCACCGGGACGGACATTTGAATGCATTACCGAATGCGCTGATGCTCAAGCGAAGTTGCCATGGGTTTGTGCACATTCGCAATAAAATTAGTCCCGCGTACTTGGTGTCATACGCGCGTGTTGTATCCCTCACACTGGAGCTCTCTAAAGTGGTCATAAAGTGTCATCAACTGTTTATGTAGATTTCATATAAACAAGTCACTTCAAATCAGAGAGTAGCATCTTTTATGTAGGGTTCTGACAATTGATCTATCGCCATTTGCGAGTTAGCCACGCCCCTTAGACAACCCTATGGGGAATTTTGTACACTAAGTTTGTCTCAGATTTGGCGCATTCTGCGTCCATTTCTATATCATGTAATTGAACAATATTTTGCAAGCTGCGTTGACGCGATTCTAGCGCGATAGGTCAATTGTTTTGCCAGGTTAACCCATTAAACTGTAGTTAACTGTTTTACATTGTATGTACATTCATTCCTTGACATTTCCATTAAAAAAAACAGGAAAAAAAGTTGCAACCTGACGCCACTTTTTTCTTTCATATATCATCTCAATAAAAAAAGTCAGTCATTGCAAAAAATGTTGAAAAGACATGAATCTGGGACTTAGAAACATCTCAAAATTGTTGGGAAATACTTACAAAATTGTCTTGACTCTCCATAGACTTTGTACAAATACTACATTCTTTCCCAAAACCATAACATGTTATGGTTTGGCAGTTCGGGGAGGTATAAGGAGTAGCAGACAGGGTGCTTTGGGACACTACAGTTAAAAGTCTTAAATGCCATCGATACATATTTAAGAATTGAAAACCCTCTATTATTCGTATTTGCACAAAGAATTTTGCATGCTGGTTGGTATGTGTTTTGTAATTGTGTTGTAGTTGCTGTCTGTTATGTGTGTGTTCGTTATACTTGCACTCAAAAGTATAGTCATTGTAAGTCATTTCTGATCATAGCAGTGTACCTAATAGCATACAAATATTGAGTGACTCAGCGTGGAATGGGAGGAATATTATCGCAAGGTAAAATCTTGACTTTTCCATTTCACGAGGCAAAGCCGAGTGAACTGGAAAAGTCCAAATTTTACCGAGCGATAATTTTCCTCCCATTTCACAATTTAAAGCCACTCAATATTTGTTTTAAATAACTGACATATAGATCCTTGTCATTTGATATATTTGAACTTTTATTTCACTACAAAATTCCAAATGTATTTCTCTCTTTCAAACCACCCATTCACAAAAATGTTTGAACCCCACTCTGTAGTGCTGGCTCTTTGGAACAATACACGCTATGTAACGCTGAACGCGCACACCAGCATGCATTTGCACACAAATACCACATCTTGGAACAAGAATGATCCTAACTGTTGAATAGTATTTTCCATTCCCCATGGGCGGATAGTACTTTTTGAGACCCGGCGTGAATGGGAGTACTATACAAATAATGAATGTTTGTGAGTGCAATGGTAAGAATAATTTCATGAGGTCACAGATGAAATGTTCCATTCCTTGAGGCAAAGCCGAGTGGAATGGAACATTCCATCTGTCACCGAATGAAATTATTCTTTCCATTGCACGAACGTGAAACATTCATTATGTGTTTTACAAAACACCTGAATAAATCCTCGTCATCTGATCAGTTAACTTTTAATAGCTAATTTATTCAGGTTAAAAACTGTTTAAAAGTTCGACAAGTTCATCATATTTAATTTATGCAAACTGTTCAACATGTTGAGAACCATTATATTCAATTTATCGCGATTTAAAACAGTGCCACCACCAGCAGCAGTGACACCGTGCAATGGAAGTTCTATTCACCGTGTAATAGAACTTCCATTGCACTGTGCGCTGCGCGCCGTGCGTTGAGACGAATAATTCAATGACGTGATCAATGATCCAACAATCAGATTACGAGGATTCATTCAGGTGTTGTATAATAACAAATGTCACATGATGTGAGTTCCACCAATCAAATGACAAGGATTATATGTCTGTTAAATAAACTTTATTCACGAGTCGGCCATATTATATTGAAAGCGAGGTAAAGTCTTTATTTTTGGAACTTGCAAGTAGAAACTAATGCAATGAAATAAAAGTTCATTACAAATTAATACCAGTCTGCTCTGATGAATAATATAAAATCTGTGATTAAACATACCCTAATGTTTAAAGCCACATTTAAAAAAATTTGAAAGTGTGGCTTGGAATGCACTCCAATCATAGTCTGGCACCATCCCTTTCAACAGTTTACAATGTTTAAAATAGATTCAGGGAACACGATCGAAAATGGCTTCCTTGTGAATAAGCAATTTGCTGGTTAGGATTAAAAAAAAGTGTATTTGGACAAGTGAAATAAAGATGTGTAGTATGAGGGAATTTTAAACCCAAGAATTTAAACCCAAGAGTTGCCATTTTATATTGCCTATTCAAAGTGATAACCCCCATTGCCCCCCCCCCAAAAAAAAAAAACCCCACCCAATTATTATAATAACAGAATTAATTACAACCAAAAAACCCCCTAAAAACAAGTGTGAAGAAGGCTTAAAGGAGTCAAATGATTTTTTTTTTGGTAAAATCCTGCATTGTCTCATGGTGTTGAAAAAGAAAACAACATTTTATTTTGATAATTCCCAGTGCTTTAATTTTGTGTATTTTGTTATATTGAGCTTTTACTGTGAATAAGAACCTTTGAGCTTAGTGAATCAGGCATGCAACTTTGCCTCGGATCAGCTGATTTCCTCTTCTTTTTTTTACTTCCCATGTGTGTCATTGAAAATAGAAAAACACTGTACAAAGTCTGGGGAAAATTTGAATTTCCTCTTTTTTTGTGACTCCCCAGTTGCATGCCTGGTGAATGAAACCATGGAGGAATAACAAGTCTTCATGATCTTCCATAGGATGAAACAACACCTTGATTTCTCACCAATGACCCCCCTCCCCCCCCCCCTTTTTACCCATGAGCCCCCACCCCCACCTTCCTAAAAAAATATAATCCCATGTCCAAGCACATGTCTGGATTCAAGGATATACCCCAGGCTGTTTGTGTACATCTGTTGCAGAATAACACCCTTTAAAAACCTGCCATGCGCTTTATCAATAATCTTTTGTGATCGCTGAATGTATTTGTTTTTTATGTCACAAAGGTCAAACAACTAGACAAGCTTTTGGAGTATGTCTGGTAAGGTCACACAACTGGCCTTGGAAGTTGGAGTTGTGATCGGTATACTGTGCCAATAATGAACCCTACGCGGTGTACAAGGGATTTTTTTCATGCGTTGTATTAGCCGAGGTCCACTGAACTTGGGCATAGGCCTACATCTGTTCATTTGTACATAATCGGAAATTTCCGTAACTGCTGTGCTTAACTCAACAATTAAAGTCTGTATAATTCTGTGAGTATGAATTATTTGTAATACATTTGCCTGGAATATCTGTGTGGTGTGAGATCAATGCATGCCCCCCCCCCCCCCCCCCCCATTACTTCCAAGTGCTCTATACTTGTTCCGAACTAACTGCAACTTTAGCAAATATGTTTTATGAAATATTTCATAAAGTTCTGGTTGGCAACCATATGAAATTGGTCTGATTTGGTCTCTGTATTCTCTTAAAGCCAGTTTAAATATAAATTACCAGTGTATTTTCATGTAGCTGTAGTCATGTATGTGCAAGTACCAGTACTGTCCTGAATATTGCCCATTGTTTGCATATTTTGTGTGTGTGGAATTTGAGCTGATTTTGAAGGAAACTTTTACTGTTTTTGCTGTAATATCTTTGTTCTTTTTGCTGTCTGCCAACGGTTCTGAAATTTGCATCAGATTCAGTACATCAGAATCATCATGCAACTGGTTTTTAACCAGTTTGTCATGTTCTCCTGTTCTCATTGCAAACTTTTGGACCTTTTCAGAAACTTGAAATTTATGACAGACAAATTGTAGTTATCTCTGTTCATTATTTTCTTTGTTTCTTTCCAGTAAACAAGAATGCAGGGTAATGCAAAACACCGTAAGGGGAAAAAGACTACCCCTGCTTCCAAACCATCCGTGCAGAAGCCAGCTAAAAGTAAAACTACAAGCAAGAGGTATAAAATAATAAGAAACATTTATAAACCTCTGCTAACTAAGGCAAACCTCTAAACCCAAACATTTACAAGCAAAGAACTATGTTTTCATGTTTTGCTGGATTATCGCCACCATGATAGTCTTACTGGAATAATGTATTTATTTGCACCCAGTTGTAGGTGTGTAACTTGTCAACACGGTTGTGGTTGGCGCTTTTTTTAGGCACAGCTAGTTTGAATGGGTGTTGAATTGGAAAACCTGAGTACAGTACCAGTGAATGTCATTTGATTTATACAACCCTGTGGTAAGGGTGCACTGAACCAATTCAAGCCCCATTGAAAACAGTGTAAAATCAACAAAGTTCAGGGCCAAATAATATGCAAGCCGACATCACTGGGGTTTCTCAAACACAAATTAAATTATTGTCTTGTACTTCATCTTTTCATTTCTTTCAATTTTGGGTAGGTTAGCCGATTACATTTTTAAATATTCACACCAAAACAAAATCACCTCCCGAAAAGTGATAGTTCCCAAGCCTGCGTGTAGCCGTTTTACAAGTGGCATCTTTCCACTTTCTCAGGCAAATCATGAGGACCCATTTTTCAACCGTAATTTTATCAAGCCTGCCCTCAGATGGAAGCCCAAAAACCAGGGAGTTGATCCTTGGCTACATTTACACAATTCCACCGTTTTTTTAAGCCAAACGGTCTCCGTTTTCAAAAGAAACGGTGGGGTCACTTTTTATGCTAATCAGCTCGCGTAGAAATTCTCACTTGAATTAGTTCACTGCACCCGTAAGAATTAACTGAACCGTGGAGCAGGATTTAACATACTGCATTGCTGCATTAGGAATATGCACATATTTTAATATTTTTTTTTGTAGCCGGGCATTGGTTTTCCCATCCATTGACTACAGAGATAATCTGTTCATTTTTTGTTCTTTTCTTTGAAATTATACTTGTGCAGTTACAAAATCAAGTACATTTCTAGAATGCCTTGCATGTCATTCTGAGAAAAAAAAATCTCAGAGTTTGCCATTTTGAAAGAGTAATTCACTTTAGTGGATGACAATTTTGATGAAGCTTTGAATTTTGTCAACTTACACATATGGGTTTTTACATATACTCTGCTCAGATCTTCATGGAGTAGAACTCTGGCTGTAGTTGCTGTTATGGCTACTGCCTTTGGCATTGTGGTGTATCTTCTGCCATGCCCAATTGACCCAGTACCTATCAGGTAAGTTAGCCTGATGTGAATTATGAACAAAATTCTCAAAAAGTAAAGTTCATTTTCTGCCTCGTGATTTAAAGTTGCTTTCCCTGTGCTGTTCATCAACTGAGTTCAATTTTTGTTTGCTGTTCATAAATTGTTCAACTTGTATGTTTGATTCCAACCCACAAACCTCCTTTCTTCCCCCCCCCCCCCCGATTTTTTTTTGGGGGGGGGGATTGTCTTCCCAACCCTCTAAAAGAATGTTTTTGTTTTGGGCACAAATAGATCCACTTTGCGAGCAGACTGGCTCCCGGTCAATACATTATCGATGCTGACTGGGGGCAGGAACCAGTCTACCCCGCGAGAGAATGAAATTATAGTCTGGCAGCCAATAATTGAAATTTGTAACATACTAATTCATTAACTGAACATGGGCTGATTGTTTTCGGCCGAATTCTCATTGAAATGTGAATAACTTTTGTGTTGCTAGAAAAATAGTGATTCTGAATCTTTTTGTCGGGATGAATTTTTGATGAATCATTGGGGGGGGGGGGTGAATTTTGAAAATAGCACGGGGAACGCAACAAATTTTAAACTCAACAAGCCTAGCACACAAAAAAATATACAGCGTTGTGTAGTGCATATTGTGGTTACAACAGCAACATTATCTAAAAGATAATTAAGCCTTGTCCTGAATGAATAATCAGTACCGTATGTTACACATTTGATAGCCTAAGCAGGCAATTGAGGCAAATATGCTGAGATATCAGTACGTACTTTGTGAATTATCCTAGAGTAATAAAAAAAAACATGGAATATGCCAAAGAAGTCAATGTTCCGTTCTGTAATTAACAATGAATCATCAGCTTTGCAGTATTTTAATCGTTTTAAACTGTATGAGACTTTGTTACACTTAGACTGTCCACTTTGAAGGTAGAGTGGATCATTTGCAACTATCCAAAAAGTAACTGACCAAATTATTGTTAAAACCCTACTTGGTTTAGATAGTAATGACACTAAACTCACTGAAATTATTCCTTCTGGCACGCTAGTCATTTTGAAGAAAACAATAAAACAAGGTCATTCCAAAAATGAGTCAAGTGACGCATTTTTGGAAATTGCAATTAGTACTTGGTTTACAATTGGGAAAAAAAAGGTCAATAACTTTTTGCAAGCAAATTGACATGATGCACAGGCATGCATGCAGTTGTTATTATTTAGCAGATTAGTGCGTGACATCTCATAGTTGCCACCAGCTGAATTAAAACATGTTCAGGATGCTGATTTCAGGCGCAATTTAAAATATGGCTGAGCAACGTTTGAAATGAAATCGAGATCCTAGAATAATGTGTTCTTGGAATATGTAGCATTCATTGAGCTAAACTATCATTGAGCTAGTAACTATCATCGGGTTAGTTGTTAAGCACCCGCATCTTTAAATTTTGAGCACTTTTGTTGCTTTAAACAAAACAATTCCATTAATAATGACAAATGATCTACTCTACCTTTAAATGAAAGAAGAATGCTGCTTCGTTTTGCTGATGCAATGCAGGTAATTGTCCAATACTGCAATATTTTGGGTCATTAATTTCATCACCCGTCAAAGCACTTGTCTATTTTGTAAACTGTTGTCTTTTATTTAAAACCCTAGCTTGCCCTCACCTCCACCACTGGAAGGCCCCCTAGCACCCAATAAATTGCTTCAGGAAGCTGAGATATTGCTACATGGAAAAGTGGTTGGGCCGGAGGCATTAGAGTTCCGAGATGGTAAGCTAATCGGTGGTAGATTTATGGATTTTATGGGACAGACGGTGGCTGTTTTTGTTTCAAATGAAGGCAGAGTTGTGCAATAACTGTCCATTTTATCCAGGAAAGAGTCCCATACGTGGACATCACTTGACACCCTGTACACAAACGTGAGACTGGTCTGGAAAAAAGCCAAGTGTTTTCTCAGTAAATGCTTCAATATTTTCCCTGCAAAATTTTACTTTTTAAGGACATGTTATTGCTTTCTGATGGCTGATAGTTTACTGCAGGGAAAAAAAACATTGATGTCCATGAATGGAATTCTAGCTTCCCATAATCCATGTGGAATGGGGTGTTGGATTAAAAGTCAGATTTGGCTCAAATATTTCAGTAGACCCATTGGCAGACTCTGCCTTACTTTGTATTTTCATACTTCAGTGTAAATTTTGAAAAAGTTGTCACTATTGAAAGGTAGTTTATGCAAAAAGTCTACATTAAGCAGGCCTTATGAAGCTATGATTTGTGTTAATACTAAAAATATATTATTTTTCCTCGTAATGACAGGTGCAATATACACAGGAACGGGAGACGGGCAGGTCATCAGGATAAAGAATGACAAAATAACAACCGTTGCAAAGTTTGGAACCCCACCATGTGGTAGGTCTTGTTTAAAATGAATGTGAGAAGGGCCGTTACATAATTGTGCAGTGTGAACGTAGTAGATATGGCAAGGGCTGATGATTTGACATCAGTCTATATTGTGCATTTTCTATGTGTTTCGGACTCTGGGTGCACAACTTTGGTGAGGAAAAGAAAGAGACAGGGACACTTCAGTGCTGTTTCTCCATCATTCACTAACAGTCCAGTAACGTACAGGGTGAGTCAAAAAAAGTGGAACCCAAACCCCAAACAATATATTTCATATTTAAAAAATATGTAGCACCAAAAATAATATTGATTGGAAAGCCAATTTCACAAGCTACTTTTAAATGGAAAAATTACTGAAATTGGGCAGTCCGTTCAAAGAATATCACCATTTAAACCCAATGACCCCAAAACCTGTCTCGTCCAAAAAATGCGATTTCAACAATCGTCATCACAATTGTCTTCAAACATCACCAGCGATGAAATCTTAGTTTAAACGTTAAGAATATGCAACAAAGTCCTTTTGAAGGCCCGTCTTTTCAAAACGTAGATTTTAAACATCATATTGTTTGCCTAACCAGGGTTGTCAATCAAAATATTGTGTACTACAGTTGGTGACAGTTGTTGAACAAGTATCCTGTGTCATTTTCTTTGTTGTTCCAAACAGTCAAAACACACAATAAATTGCTTTTTTAGACAAGACAGGTTTTAGGGTCGTTGCATTTAAATGGTGATATTCTTTGAACGGATTAAGCAATTTCAGTAATTTTTTCATCTAAAAGTAGCTTATGAAATTGGCTTTCCAGTCATTATTTTTGGTGCTACATATTTTTTTAAAAATGAAATATATTGTTTGAGGTTTGGGTTCCACTTTTTTTCACTCACCCTGTACTTCATAATAAATTGGTAGTTCTGTTTTTTGATGCTTGCAAATGTTGTATATTAATTCCCTTTTAAATTCACAAGGCCTGCTATCGGCTGTTCTTTAGGGGAAAATCTCAGGCTTGAAAAAATGTAACAACACACATTGTTTGGCTTGATTGAATTCTTCTGTGCAGGACTTCAAAAAGATGAACATACCTGCGGACGCCCTCTTGGACTGAGGTTCCACACGGACGGATTTCTCTACGTGATGGATGCATATCTTGGACTTTACAAAGTAGATGTGGATACAGGTATGAGCAAGTTGAACATTGTCAAGGGTTGATACTAATTCACTTGGTTAGGAGACATACATTTATTTCAGTGTATGGACTTCATGCACAAGTACCCCTCAGCGGCTTTCGAAAGTGGTCCCAAAACGCCATCTGACTGTTCGTAAATGGAGTCCATGTGGCTTAAATTATCAAAGTGGGATTGGAACCCGCAACTTCTATGGTGTTGAACTGACTGAGCTATCCATCCCTGTGTTATAAGCAGACTCCCAATTTGTCAGTTGATCACATGGGCGTCGCGAGGGGGGGGGGGGGGGCAAGGGGGGGCACTTGCCCCCCCCCCCCTCCATGGTTTTCTAGATTTTTCAGTGAATAAACACAATGTAATACAATGTAGTACAGGTGCTAATGGGTTAAACGAATAAAATGCACAAAAAGCAAATGTTCCTATACCTTTGTTTTTCCTGCAGCAGGACATTAAGCAAGAGTCCCATAAGTGTTCTAAAAGTCTCCTGGAGCCAACTTAAGCCACCGACTAGATGAAGTTGAGGTTTCGAAAACCCCCAAAGTTGCCATTATTACCTCTGTGTGCTTTCAATGATGCCAAATAATATCTATTCATTGATTTCATTCCTAAGGTGAGACAACAAAACTCTTGTCAGGTGAGGATCCAGTAGAAGGCAAACCCATGAAGTTCCTGAATGACCTGGACATAGACTCGGACGGGGTCATTTATTTCACTGACTCCAGCTACCGGTGGCAACGCCGTCAAAACCGACATGCTGTTCTAGAAAACACAAACACTGCTAGGTAATGCATCTATCAAATGTTTCCAACCCCCCTTTGTTATTGCGAACCAGAGGTTTGCGCATACCTCCATGTGAAAACGATATTAATGTGGTAATATACGGTACTGATCTAACGTTTATTTTAAAATACACAATTATCTTCGAAATGTGGCAAGTTTTTGTGTGTTTTTTTTTTTTTGACAGAGTGTTTAAGTTTGATCCCAAGACTGGTGAAATGTCAGTGATAATGGACAACCTGTGCTTTGCTAATGGCGTACAGCTGTCTCCAGATAAAGACTTTCTTCTAGTAACAGAAACAACACATGCTCGGATAAAAAAGTAAGTTAAGCTCAGAATTGTATATAATAGAAGTGCCTGAATTAGTTGGAATCAGAGCAATGCACCATGACTATCAGCTCACGATCTCTACTAGTAGATGCCATTTTAATTACTATAGATTACTTTGGTGACAACCATTTTTTCTATTTGTCATACACCCAAGCTTTATCGCATTTCAGCTTAGATTCTTTGGCAAACAGACGTAATCAAATATCATTATCCTTTTTCAACAAAACGCTTAAACACACTGATCTTTTTCGTGAATTCTTTCCGCCTCAACATACTAGAATGCTGCGGAATAAACCATCCATCCCTGAAATCCGTTGCCGAACAAAACGTTATTATACCAGTGCGCTTCCTACCTTAATCAGATTGCATAACCAATAATAATAATTTTAATTTTTCGATATGTAAATTGCAATGGACATGTTTTTAACAGTATGCTTTGTACACGTGAACTGTAAAAGTCATTGTTCGTGTTTTAATAGTTTTTTGTTTGTGTGTGTAAATTGTAAAGGTGATTGTTGTCAAATAATTTGTTGATTTGGTGTTAAATAATTTATTATTTTGTTAAATCCATTGCAATTCAGTTTTTAACTGCGATAATGGATTGAAATAAACCAATATGAATGAATGAATGAACATATTGGAAAATGATGTTGAGATGCTTCATTTTAATCAGGTAATGTGTGCACAGAGCAGTACTTCATAAATGTAATCACTGTTTATGTTTTAGCAAGACATTCTGAGAGCACTTGTCCGGTTTTCGAAGATCTTTTCCTCACTGTCCCCTGGTTCTTATCACAAATTAAAGAGATTTCTTATCACATGGTGCATCTGCAAACTTACTCTTAATGTTCTCTATCTCTTGGTTTGCCAACAGATATTGGCTGAAGGGTCCAAAGAAAGGACAAGTTGAGATATTTGCCGAGAACCTTCCGGGGTTGGTTGACAACATCCGACCCAGACAAGCAGGGGGTTACTGGGTAGGGATGGCCGTCGTCAGGAAGCAGCCGATTTCCTTGTATGATGTCCTGGCTGCAAGGCCCTGGATGGTTAGACTATTCGCAAAGGTAGGATCCAAGTTACAGACCCGTGAGATTACTCAATCGGTCAACACGTTGCCTCACTCAGTGTCATTCCTTTACTCTTACTTAAAGGAAACAAAAAGTGCAGTGGAAATTCAGCTTACCTTATTTTTATGCTCATTATTACAAGATCTTAATACTTGTTTTCATTGGAAGTGACAAGAAAGTGGTAATTTGAAATGAGTCATTTGTCGACCCTGGTCCTTTTTTTTTTTTAACAGATTTGAAAAGAGCACAATTTCAGCATTACTGCTGTGAAAACCGCATGCTGATACCATCTTTGAAGAGGGCGCTATTTTGCTTTTGTCAAACGAACTCCGTGTCAAACTGCATATGAACAGGAGTCCTTCAAAATTACCTACAATAAAAAGTTTTGAAGAAATATTTACCACTACTATTGTCCAAACATCTGTTTAACATTATAAACAGGTATAAAGTGGAACTTACTCCAAGAAAAGTTTGATATATATTTGTACACAAAGCTACTACTGTTCTGCCTTGAATGGCATCACACTTTGGCTCATGGATATGGAAATTTTCATTAGCATAAAAACTAAAATGTTGAAATTTCTCCCTTTTACTGCTACAAAGGAGGTGGGAAAGTCATAAGCATGGCAAGAAAGCTGTTTTCAAAGTATTTAACTCATAAAAATCCTATTACATATGTTCTTTTAGGGTTTCTTTCTGTATTCATCATATTCATGACAACAAAATTCTCTTATACCCATAGCCTTACTTTTACTTAGTGTGAGGACTCAATCATTTGTGGTTTCACATAACTATAGTTAAACCCTCCTGCTGTCTGAACAGTCACAGACAGTCCAAAAATCAACCCTCTTCCCCTACCATGCCTTTTACACAGGCTAGTCACCAACAGTCAGATCATATTTCCAGCAAGCACTGTGACCAGTCAAATTCAGTCAACAGACAAAAGCAGGCAACTGGTAGGCAAAGCTGGCTTATCAATCACCTACAGTCAAAGCATAGCTGTATCAAGTTACATAAACAGTCATAGCCAGTTAATCCTGCTTTTATGTAGGCAGGGAACACTCAACCATTAAAACAGTCACTAGACTGATTTTGACTGAAAGGACAACTTTGCACAGAATGCATATTTTTTTTTTAATGACTGATGCTTGTTTTTCTTTAATGCATTGTCATACTTGTAGCCAAGTTTCTAAACTCATACTTTTCTCAAACTTATCAGAATGTTTTTTTTTTACACTAAAAAGTGATGTGAGGACTCATGCTCAGATCCTCAAATACCTGATTTCCGTGTCTTATACGCATTAAAATTACTTGATAACAACCTTTGCTCCAGTTGTTTAAATGATTAGAGCTGCAAAATAAGCAAATTGTTCTGCAAATTCAGTTTGCCAGTAACGTGTTTTTGTTGACCAAAACGTAGCCCGGAACAAGCAAATTTGTTGCTTGTTAGTCCAACTGAGAAACAAGTTTTAGGTTGTCACTGGCATCTTCTACTATATTTAATTACTAAATTGAGTAGAAATATTCATATGAAGGTCACCCCAACATGCCATTCATCAGTTCCTTTTGAATAAGAGAAGATTCAGTGGCCTAGTAAAAACTACTATAGCTGTGTACTTAACAGTCACAAGGAAATGTTTTTCTTAGGTTAAAACAACACCAGCAACACAAAAGGGGATAAAGATTTTTGTAAGGCATGGTGCTGGCCAAATTTGACTCTGTTTTTGAGGCCTTTTACTCATGCATTTATATTTATGTGCTGTATACTATGGTGCTATTGAATTTGCATTTTGTAAAAGAATGGCTCTGATAATTACAGTGTTCGGATGAATAAAGAGGGTGACAATCAAAATTTGGTCTTGCAAATAGAACACTCACCCTAAATACTGTACATGGAAAAGAACAATGTAAGGTACAAGTAGCACTTAAAATTACTAAGTTTGCCATTGCATTCTTGCATAGCTGTGAATACTTGCATCAGATGAGCTGCGAAAGCTTGTGCCAATTTGTATTCTTGTTAGTCATTTTTAGTGCTACGGTGCTACCTTACTTTTCCATGTATGTTCTGCCTGACTAACATGGCTGCCCACTTCTTTTAAATAAAGTACATAATGACAGAAATTGTCAATAACAAAACAAAGGATAAGAACATTAATACACCTCTGCTATGTCAAAAATGTTCAACCAGTTGTGTCCCAAACCTATAACTTTGTTTCATCTGTTTGTCAATTTGTCACAGCTTTTCAACCCAGATTGGATCATTAAATTTCTACCCAAATATGGCCTTGCGATCGCATTGGACGAGAACGGCCACATCATTGAGAGCCTCCATGACACCACTGGGTGCAACATTGCCTCAGTCAGTAGCGTACTGGACACTGGGGACTACCTTTACTTTGGATCTTACTACGCCAAGTTCCTTGGAAGACTAAGGCTGAAGTAGAAGGTCAAAATTCGTGGCTGAATTTCCGATGGCTCTGCTAAAAATGGAGTTCATCACTTACCAATAATATTTTGTGCTTTCAGTGCCAATTTTTTGCTAGTCTTGTTTGAAAATGTCACTTTGTGACATTTGTTATGCAATTCATTATTTGAAACTCTGCATTTTTTTTTTAAATTACCATCAACCTGTCATTGATTTTAATATCAGAACTTTTGGAATCAAGTAAATTAATGCATTAAAGGGAAGATACAACATTTGCCAACATAAAAAAACCCGAAATGATCACATGCATTATCATGAAATACCTTACTGGATTGTTAGGGAATGACAGTCTCAAGCATCCTGTAAAATTGTAGCTCCTGGTGTGCTAGGATTTTCAAGAAACTGAATTGTATTTTTCCAATGCTGGTCGGCTGACCAGCGTTGGAGAAAACTGGCTTTTTCAAAAACTGTTCCTAGTTTTTCAAATTTAGTTATTCCGCTTTTCAAATTTAGTTATTTCTTTGAAATTGATCACACACCTGTGAAGGAGTACAAGCTTGCTAAACTGATTGTCCGAAAAGTGAAACAAGTCAGTTTAACAATTATTTGCTATAACAAATAAGTCCTCCAAATCCATTTATTTCTGAAAATCGCAGCAAAAGCAAACGTTGTACATTCCCTTTAAAAAATTACATCGGCCTACCAATTCAAGCTGATGTCCACATGACAAACACATGTGCCCATGTCTAGTTTATTTTTATTTTATTAGTAGCTTGCACTGTGTAGATTTTAAAGAACGCAATTGATTTAATTTTAATAGAGCTTTAGTCGGAAAATAGTTGAACTTGAAAATTATTACTGAGGTGTTTACTGTTTTTTTTTTTTTTTTTTTCGCTTTTCCAAACCTCGGCTTCTCCTATGCATTCCAGCTCCAGCTCCATTGCAAAAACTGAAGCATACTGGAAGCCAGAGACTAAATGAAGTCGTCGTTTGAGAAACGGCCATAGACTGATAGTGGCATATTTTCCACATGTTACATATATTTATCGCCCTCTCGTGGTTTAAAAGTGAGAGCTGGATTTGGAAGTTTAAAGGAACTCTCTGTTAACATGTTTTTAAAGTGAACATTGTCTGTTTCTCTTTGTGATGGATTTGATACCTTTATATTTTGTTCAGCTCTTTCTGCATTTAGGCAGTCAATCACACTATGGTCTAGATAATTAAATTAAATATAATTAAATTAAATATAATTTTGCAATACTGTGAAATAAAAGGGAATGTTTTTTCTTCAGTAATACCAAAATGTCAGTGGATTTATTACTTGCTTTCAATTAAATAAGTCTTTGCTAGGACTTTTTTTTTTTCAAAAACAAAAAAGGGAAGAGAGAGGGGCGTGGCAGTAACTGTCCCTGTGTGAGCAGGCTGTAGGTGCCCTGGGTTACTCGCGTGGCGTGCCTCTGTGAGTGGGAAAAAAGGAACGTGATCACAATGAATTTACAAAATGTATTTGGATAGAAACAGAAATATTATCAACTTGTTGGGCCGCTCTGCATATTTTCCTCAAACCAACAGGAGTTGTACGTTTCTGGAAGTTACATAACACGTCCGCCTCCGTTAACAGTAGTATTCAATGATTTCCAAGAAAAGAAAAAAAGAGGGGAGCGGCCGGCTGCCGTGCCTCACAAAACAGTGTTGGCCGAGTGTAACGGTGGTAAAAAAACACGTGACAGGAATAAAGCCATTCCAAAACACTTGTTAGGATGCGACATTCCCTCGAATGGACGAATACGATGACTGATTTGACATACTTTCGTAATTTGGTGGAGGTTTGAATACCTTTTGCAACTTTAACATTAACCCACCCCCTCCCCTAAAAAAGAAAGGACCAACAAAAATAAACAATTTCCGCCAGGTAATATCTGTGTTCACAAATATTTTTTGATGTTTTACCTTCGAATAATCAATAATGTAACCAACTTTTGATAGGGTGAGGGCGCGTATCATAACGGCTTCCAGGGAAAGACAATGATTTTGGCCGGAAGGGGGAGGGGGCGGGGCATAAGACTGGCAGTTTTTGCAGATGCGAAAAGTCGGGGGAAGTCGAAAAGCCGGGGAAGTCATTTTGAGCTACTTGGCGCTCCTCCTCGGAGGCTCCCCCTTTTCTATCTTTAAGTAATATTTCTGGAATCCGCGGATTCCTGAAATATTACTTAAAGATAGAAAAAGGGGGATTTTGCTTATTGAGTAGTGGTTCGGGTGCGTGGCTATTGCATTTTATGGGGGGGGGGGGGGCAGCAAGGACGAACTGAGTACCAAATTTCCCCAAACTTTACGGTGGACCGACTGGCCTGCGGCCGCTGAAAATTTAGGATAAACACATCTTCAGACAAAAGCAAATCGAACTGCATTGACTTGAAGCTATATATCTTAAAATATATCGCACACCTTTAAAAACAATTTTAAACCCAAAACAAAAGGCTATATTTTGTGCAAAAGTACTTTTCAGTATACGTTTTCAGTGAGTTAGCTAGGTTCAGACCCGGGATCTAGCGCTATAGCGGGTGCGGCTTGGATGGGATAAATAATGATGGTCATATCAATTTTAAAAGCGAAATAAAGTGGAAATAAATTGAAACCGTCGTTTTCTAAAAGTATAGCCAACATTTTGTTTTGATTTTTTCCCGAGAATTCCCCCCCCCCCCGAAAATCGGTACCTGTGGGTTTGGTTGTGCATGGTGCAATTAATCTTACCCGTAAGCCCCCGTAAACTTGGTGACCATTTTTTTTTCTTGCCAAATAAGACACATTTGCCGAAATTTTGTTGCGGTTTACGACATTCTATACCAACATTTTAGCCGTTAGATTTTCAGTCACCAATTAAAAAACGTCCAGGCTTTTCTGAATTATTTTTTTTCCCAATTTTTTCCGCAAACACTAAGTATATTTTTTTCTGGAAAAAGGGTCTAAAGTGCACATAGTTTTTAGTCTAGATTTTAGGAACGGCCTGCCCGGCCTGCCTCAAAGAAAGCTCAAGTTATTTTTTTTGAGGATAAGGAGATATTACTTCTAGAACTAGAAAACAACCCGGGGATTTATTCCATATAGAAGTTTTCATCTCATATTATTTTGGTCGGCGGCCGGGGGGGGGGGGGGGGGGGGGGGTGGCGGCGGGCTCTGTCCGATGTATCAAGGGATTAAATCGCCGTTTATTGGTCACCGCGCTAATGCAAACAGAACCTTCAGTATGAATGATAAAGCAAATATGTAAACTATACTCGTAAGTAAATAAAAAAAAAATGACATATAAGCTAGCTGTCCGAAATGGAATTCACTTCCTCATAATTATTTTCACTACCTTGCCGAAAGATATGAGGAATTGTGACACACAGTAGAGTCTCACAATTGTATTAATTTAATTAACTACATTTCTGTGACAGTAATCTTAATTAACAACCCTGCGTTAAATATGCATGTTTATTTGCATAACAACACATAAAAGAGAAATATTTATAGTTAAAGTTGTAATCAATAATTGAAAAATAAAATTGCAGACGACGCCACACTTACTTACGATGCTTCCCAGAATCCTTAGCGAGACTCAAAATCATGGACGACGGTGGGAACTCTGGAAACTGCAGCGGACTTGGTAAGTATTTTGCTCGAATTTAACCCTTACCGATGGATAATTTTACATTAACAACGAATGTGTTCTAAAATATACTATCAAGAACCTAACCTTGTCCTTTTGTGGATTGTAGCCATTTACAATGTACGATTTGCAAGAGGTAAAAAGGACACCGGCATTTAACAAAAGGTCTACGTACTGTACAATGTGCGTGCTTGTGTTTACGCTGTCAAAACACGATTCAGACGGCCGTTCACGTGTTAGCGTTTCGTGCGGTGAATAACGCCCACAGTGTGTGTATAATGCTATGCATTATTAATCGTGAGACATGTAATTAGTACACTGACAGTTGTACTTTGTGGAGACGACTGAATACAAAGTTCAGTTTATTTTAATGAGAGAATGACTGAATGTTGCAGTCTGCCTGACGCCACTTCATATAGCGTTTGTGGTTGTGTAGAGTCAAGAATATTTCCTAACAAACTTGAAAATGTTTCTCAGTCCCAGATTCATTTCTACTTTCTAGTTTAAAATAATCATTTTTTTGCAATTGATGACTGATCTTCATTGAGATGACAATGATATGATTTAATATAGAGAAAAAAGTGGCGTCGGGTTGCAACATTCTTTCCATTTTCAGTAGTGCAACTGCAAGTATAACAGTGAAAATTACAATGACAATTTATGAAAATTTGATTTAAATATGAAGAAATATAACCATTATTTAAGCCTAAACAAATACACAAGTTGGAAAAGCCATAAATTAGATGACCAATTGTGTTCTGCAGCATAACTTTGATACATAAAATGCATACATTTTTATTTACTTTGTTGAAATCATTAATACTTAATACTAAAGGCCTACCACTACCACTATACCAGGTAAATTAAATGCTAACAAGCACGTAGTGAGTGAAAATGAGACCAATTAACTGAGGCCAAAATATATATACATTATGTATGGAGAGTGGTTTTTGAGTGTAAGCAGTGACCTTGACCTCTCGGTTCACACTTGTTGTCATAGCAACCAAAATGGTGGTCGTAGACTTGTACTGGATTAGATTAAGGTTTATTCCTTCCTCCACGGTGTAATGTAGTACAGTTATACGTATGTGAATGTTCACCAAGATAGGGTTTCATGATCCCTTAATTTCTCAACAAATTATTAATTTCACTTCATTTATGCTGTTGTTATTCTCTTGTATGTTGTGGTATTGAAAAATATGCAAATTTGTTTAATTGTTATATGTTTCATAACTAGACACTCAGCAATGTTCATAATAAAGGCCCCATAGGATCATTCACAAAATTGGAACAAGGGTTGTACTGTGTAACGGATTGGGTAACTGAGTACCCGACCGCTGATGTCTGGAACTGTTCCCTGATTATGGAATCGAGTACCCATTACCAACTTTACATATTTACATTGTACTTAGTAACTTCTCAGACAATGAATAAGAAAGGTTTTAAATGTCAAACAGATTCACGTTTATGATGCTCGCGAAAATGCAGTTTACACCGTAAAGCTACCCTTTGAACTCACTGTACACACTGATGACGCACCGATGTGGTAGTATTATTGTGTGGACCTTTCTGTACAGCAAGTTCCGAGATTTATATTTTGAGGTTGGTTTTTACCTGTGTATACCTGTGTTTTTTGTTCAATCAGGTATCCGATTCCCATACTACCCGTAAATGCACACCCCTACTTGCAACTTACCTAC